TTTTTGAAAAAAATTTTTTTTTGAAACAAAAATGGGGGGGGGGGGGGGGGGGGGGGGAGGGGTGTAATTCAAAGGCGGGTGTGTCAGTTCATCGCAACAAGCCTGTGCAAACTGTTTCAACGACATTATTGCCAGCCTCGAGGCCACGGAGAATAACGCGGGAAGGGGGAGTGAGGGATGATTTTTTTCCTTATATATCTTTTCTATTGCCGGAGAAACTTGAGATTCACGCCGCGTACGCCGTAGGTTGTGGGGTGGACCACCGACCCTACCAGCTGACCTGGCCAGCTTGATCGCGGCCATGATGACGTCGTTGGGCGTCTCGGCCGCGTTGGTGGACACGATGGTGATGGCGGCGGAGATGAGGTTCTCGTCCACCGTGCCGTCTTTGTCGCAGGCTCGGTCTACCGAGTGTGCGACCTCGATCAGCCTCCGTTGCTGCGGACGTACGTGCGGTCGCGCGAGCACGGCAACACAGAGGGGAAAAAAGAGTCAATGAGGTTGTGCAAGCGCACAAAGATGTACGGGTCAGGGTTAGAGGTGGTGCCGGAGTTGGAGCGAGGGGATGCATGATGCTACGACGATGGCGCTCCGGTACACGGAGGACGAGAGCAAGTAAATGAGAGTTCTTTCCCGCTCCCCTAGAGACTGAGCACCGGTGTCGTTGAGTAAGGTCCGCCGTAGAATCGAAGCACCGGAATGGATTTTGCGTAAAGGGACAGCACCAGCAATAATCGCAGCAGCACCAGCGGTCAGCACCCTAGCGGGAGAAACAACCGACAAAACGTTTTGCAAGCAGTAACAACAACGCGGACCCTCCTTACCTCGGCGTGGGATACGTTACGCTTGGTTTCCTTGGTCGACGAGGACGATAGCACCTCCAGGGCCGCCAATTTCGCCGCTTTCATGTAGCGCTCCAGTTCTGCGAGATGCCCCACGAGACAAAGATGTTGTCAACGGGAGGGTACGGTGCGGTTGAACAGGCCAAGTATCAATTTTGAATCTCTTTTCAGCGGCAGCTATGCGAAGGGTCAGGCATAGTTCTACACGCCGGGCGAAATTACACTCCGGGGGTTTTCACTTCATGCATGCTGCAGCACCAGCTTTTAAGAAAGAGCCGCCAGCGAAAAGGATGGGGATATCAAATCAGAGCGTATCGGAGGAAAGCGAATCCGCGAGCGCCAACCGTCAATGAAATCGGGCACCGACGTGTTGCGCAATGCTCGGCACGATGACTAAGAACACCAACCAAGCGTGTTAACCTCCCTCTCACCGTCTAGCCCCGTGGCCTTACGGGCGCGCACAGCCTTGTAGGGGCCCTTGTGCTTCTTCGCCGGCCCCGCAGGTTGGGGCTTGCTCTGCCTCTTGGCGATCAGTGCCGCCGCCGCCCTCGCTATCCCGGCGGCGGCAACCATGGCACCCCCGCCGCAGCCGCTGCCGCCACTGCCGCCGCCGCCGCTGCCGTTGCCGCCGCTACCGCTGCCGCCGCCCACGCCGCGGTTACTACACCTTCGAAGCTTTTTCAGAACGCCTCCTTCCCTGTTGTCGAAACCGTCGCCGTAGCCGTTGCCACGGTCGCCGGAGCGTGCGGGCCTGTCGTCGCCGCCTCCGTATTTCTTGTCGTGACCACCACCACCACCACCACCACCACCACCACCTCCACCACCACCGCTGCTGTGTTTCTTGAGCTTCTTGTGCTTGTCTTTTTTCTTCTTGCTCTTCTTCCTGTCGCCCCCGTCGGCGTTCTTCCTCCTCTTCTTGCTCCCCCTCCTGACAGAAGCAGCAGCAGCAGCAGCAGCAGCAGCTGCCGCACCTCTTGCGTTGCTGTTATCGTCGTCGTCGTCGTCGACGTCACCATCGTGGTGGTCCACGCCGTCGTTGTTCCCGCCGTCCTGCTCGCTGCTGCTGTTGCTGTTGTTGCTGCTGCGGTTGGTCTTGTCGGTTTCCCGCTCGGGAGACATGTTAAGAGCGGTGGGTTGCAGGAGGCCCTCGAGGAACCGGTGGTCCAGTTGGTCGATCTCGATGGCCGGGAGGCTGCTGCGCTGGGGAGGACCGGACACTTCGCGGCTCAACGTGCGAACATTCCTCCGCATCGAGGAGTACCTGGGCATTTTTTTCGGCGGGGGGAGGGGGGAGTGGTTCCCGTTTGTCGATGGTGGTGGGGGGCGGTCGGTATTCTTACTGTGCGGTTGCTTGTTGATTGATGTTGAAAAAACGTGTTGTTATTTTCTCAGTCTTGATCGCAGGCATGGTTCCCGCCTCCGTTTCCTTTCGGGAGAAAAATCTAATGTTTGGTTGTGTGGAAGTTTGGTCCGACAGGTAGGATGCGATTGTTGCACTCCAGCCACTTCTGAGTTAATCGATGTGTAGATTGCCAGGTATTTCGGCGCACGAAAAAACAGACAGCGCAGCCACAAAAAAAGTGCAAAATGGCACCCAGGGCACGGAGTACCAACCAATTTTTTTTCGTCGGGCAGCGCACAACATCATAGGGTGAACTTTCGTCTTCTCTGGCAAAAACAAATCTCCCCTTTTTTCGTTTCTTCTCACCAGAAGTTCTTGACCTGGTTGTCCGTCCTTCCCGGGAGGCGCTTGGCTATCTCGGACCAGCGGTTACCGATCTCGGCCCTGGTCTTGGTGATCAAGGCTTCCTCTTCGGGGGTCCACGTTCCCTTCTTGATGCTGGGGTCTGCAACAACCACGTTGCGAAAAAAAAAAGGAAAAAAGAACGGGCGCATTCCTGCATCAGATTGGTGCCGCTCTGTCGGGCTGCAAACATAGTATCTTGCTCTTGTTCTCCGTGCTTGGGGGGGGGGGATTTTTCGAGTCGAGCCCAAAATGTGTGCGAAGGTCGCGGGTGTTAGGTCGAGAGGCTGCGGTTGTGCTTTCTTCCGGATACTTGGCAACTGATGGAACATAGCATTTGACGGGGAGTTTTTTCGTCCCGAGGCCACCAGTTTTTTCGGCCAAACGCGCAAAGTGCAGGCGTAGGCATTTCCGTGGGCTCACCCGCTCCCAAAGTTCTAGTCGTTACCATTGCCGGCTTGGTTCATCCGATGTTGTGCATGAAACTTACCCACAGACGCGATGAGGGTGGAGTGCGATCCAGTCACTTATGTTTTGCTTTGGGCTTCGCTTTACATGATCAGCTTGGAGATCGAGGAAGCAGCATACGCCTGACACTCTCATCTAGTAGTTACAGTTGGATGAGCCCCGAGTATCCGGGAAACAGGCTTTCGTAAGGCCGTCGTAACCGCGAGCCCGGTCGTGGCGCGCCATAAAAGCTTGGGTCATGAAAAAATATTCCAGCCCCCCCATCACCAATATTCTTGACACCGCAAACAAATACGGAGGCCCGCCTGATAGTCATATTTCGTCAGTATATATCAACATGGTTAGAACAAAAAACCAGCAGAAAAAAAAAAAAAACTTACCTAGGTGGTTGTGCCACCGCTCTCTGCACTGCTTTCCCGAGCGTCCGACGATGGAATAGTCAGCGGCGAGGTGCTCCTCGATGGTGGCCCAGCTGCGCGTCCCGTGCCTCTTGACGAGCACCCGGATGGCGTCGTCCTCCTCCCTCGACCACACGCGCCGGCTGTAACGGCAACAGCACCACCGCCATCCACCACCCACACGCGTGTTTTAATGTTGTATTTATCAGGTGTGCAGCACGCTTTTTTGTGCAACCTGAATATTTATTCGCTTCCACGAATACATTGATGATGCTGTAACTCTACAGATAACGAAGCACTTCCTTCCGTTAAACGTTATCTGCCTAATACTCCGCGAGCAAATAAAATCACAGCAGTAAATATTTTTTTTTTGTAATACTATTGACGTGCGGCTATGTTACAGTTTCGGTGATATTTTCATGAACCTTGGGTCCGCTGACGTGAAGACGGTGTCACTATTGTAGTATCTGGTGAGAACGGGGCACGTTGAATAGGCTCAACCACCGCATCCACTTGATTTTCTTCCCCAGCAGGTACCAGCATGGTATGTAGTAATCAAGTCATTTCCAACATCTCTTCTTCTTCGTTTTGTCTTGTCGGTACCTCACGGCGCACTTATTGTAGAGCAGTTACATTCTCAGTTGGCTTCTCTTTACGACTTCATGCTCAAGGTTGCACGAGAGAAAAACGACTCCTTTCGCAACCAGGACAAGATGTTGTGCCGTAAGGGTTGGCGAATGGCCGGCTTCCTACTGCTCAGTCTGGGACAACTTCCAAAGGAAACACAACTCGAGGAATACTCATCCCGTACACACACTAGCGCGTCGATAATCGCACCAATATATAACCGTCCACAAAAGATACTATTATTGTATCACACCGCATCTCCCGAGTGAAAAACAACTGTAAAATAATGAGGCGAGAGAGTTGTTGGACAACAGAAAGGATGCGCACGAACATGAAAGGACGGCAGCGCAGGAAGCCGAGTATCAATAAGTATGCGTCTCACTTCTCACTCCGGCGAGATTCGCTAACGATGCTGTTGTCCAAAGCCATGTTCGACAGGGGAGGTGGTAGGTCGTGGTTCCGAGCTGCCATATCAGCTCCAGCAGCAGCAGCAGCGGCGGCAGCCGCAGCAGCAGCAGCAGCAGCAGGGAGTAGCTGCGGGGGAACGCCTGCGGGCAGTGGGCCCAGGCCAGCCGCGACGGGCGGAACGGCAGTGCTGTCCACGACAAGGGCCGGCTCGTCCGAGGATGAACCCTCCCCACCGTCCTCCTCCTCCTCCTCCTCCTCCTCCTCATCGGCAGAAGGGGTGTTGGATGCAGCGGCGGCGGCAGCAGCAGCAGCCGCTTGCGCCGCCGCCGCTGCCCTCGCCTCGGGAGGCACGGCGGGGTCGGGTCCGTCCTCGAAATCCGGGGGCTGCTCTTTCACCACGGCCAGCGGCGGAGCCCGCACGAACGCAGACGCTCCGCTCTCGTCCATCGTTGCTGCTGTCGCTGTGATCTGGTTTCTAGGAAACCTCCGTGAGTGTGTGCTCCCGAGGAAACAGCAGTTGCGCTCTTTACCCGCTCGTTTTATTTTTGAGCGGCGCGCGCGGAGTATGTGTGTGTTCTCTGACTCCGTTTCTCCCTCTCCAGTCTCTGTATCTCCCTCGGTTGCGTCAAGAACTTGAAGCGCCTCGGACACGCGAGAAAGATCGCCGGTTAGAGGTCGATAGGAGAGGACTTGAAGGCGTCGGATCTTCAGCTGTCTTAAGCCGTGCTGGGTTTGCAGGACCGCTCTTGATGGTGCAAATGGGATGTGTGTTGGCAAGTTTCACGTACACACCCCACATCGAAGTCCCGCCGCATTTTGCAACCGTTTCGAAAAAAAAAAGGTGAATCTCCGGAGAGAACACATGAAACGCTCACGAAGAGACCAGTCGCCGATCTTCGATGAATCGTTGTCTCGTTGTGCGATGATAGTTACACACGACACACAACTGATGCTTGCTTGAGCGCGTAACGCAGACACTGGGGATTGGAAGGATTGCAGGAGTTTTGACACCCTGTATGATGCAAAGATTTGTGATGATGGGATAACGACGTCTACAGCAGTAGACCACACATTTCTTTCTCTGTCTACAGGATAAAGTACTGCTGCCGTGTGCTGTACGTACAACGTTACTCACTTCAATCAAGCTCATCATTGGTTGGGACAATAGATTGCATTTTTTGTCGTTCGTCCTTTTTGTACAGTCGGCTTGCTGTACATGGTGTACGGCCCGGCAGCAATTATCACAGGCTTCGGAACGGTGCAGCAGCAGGACAGCATCGAGAATGTGCACAGCATTGATAGCAGTGTTCTCAACCGGCCACCACCTGATCTGACGTATCTCCGTGAAAGCCGTCATTGGGCGCCGCCTCGTCGTCAAACGTGGGCCTGGTCAGAACAGCGCACACAGGTTTCGGTGTAGCCTCTCCTTGGCCTATACTAACGGGGTATCAAAGTAGGTTGCACGAAAGTAAGTGTATTCCCGCAACATCCTCACGTGGGATGGCGCGTTGCTGTACTACAGTACAATGCCGCTCAAATACAAGAAAAACTACCATGTATACTGCATTGAGCAAAGGCTAATGTCTAACCGTGTCTCACCCATCGAAACAGGCTATTTTTGCAAAGCTACCATACAGAAGTATGGCGTGGTGCAGGCGGCGCCATATTTCTTATTGCTACAAAATGTAGGCGGGGTATTGCTGCTCCCTCTCTTCTTCTGAGTGGACACGCACGCGTCGATTATTTTGACGTAGCTGCGTTTTCTACGTGTTTTTTGCGTACGGCAGCGGGAGAGCGTCGCCAACGAGAACTTGGCGTAGAATATTCTAGAGGTGTGTTCTTTTGGTTCAGTGGAAACAACTGTGTCTTTCATCTGTACCCCCACACACACATTTGAAGACGTGTGTGTGTGCGGATCTGGCATGCCGATGTAAACCGGCGGTGAACACACCCCGGCCTGTAGAGGCGGTACCAGGTTGAATCATGCGACTGTTTGTGTCTTGATCAGTCACCTTTAAATTTTGTCGTCTTTTTTGCCTGGTGTCGCACGTCGAGTGGGCGCAATGGGCTCTGTCTACTATCTCACTTGTCTGGCATGTCGCCTGCGACGTCTGACAGTCTCGGCTATACTTCCTACAATATCCAGTTTCGGGTGGGGAATCCGGGTCTTTCGCAGTTGCTTTGATTTTTCATACCCTCATACCATACGTCTTGCTAGGTACATCTTGTAACGGTGGCAGAATAGATGCTGCAAGGTACTCGGCAGAGATCGGAACGCGGTTTCATGTTTAAGTTGGAGACAGAAACAACCATGTTCGCCTCTCTGGGTCTTCACACAACACCCTATTCAGTCGCCCTGTTGATTTCTTTTTGTGATGCCGCTGGCCCTCCCGTTCCCGACAGCTAGTAGTCCTTATCAATAACAAACCGCCAGACACGCCACCGCTCAGTATTCTTCCTCAATCGACTTAAGAGACGCCGCCGCTGGTAGCCTATTTGGTCTATACATCGTACTGGTCATCAACAAGGGCGCTTGCATACAAGAATGTCTGGAAAATTCTTCCACAACTAGTCTTTGCAGACTAAAGCTTCTAGCATAGCGTCAAATTCCCCGGCGTTTTCCATGCCGCAAGAAGCGTCCACCACGAAGCTGTCAAAGCCTGCGCTCGTCATCTCATCGCCTTCAGTGTCCTGGTGTTTAGGTCATGGGGGAGAAAGTGTGGTTAGCTTGCCTATCGGAAACTCACGTCTCACACGAAAGCACAGCTGGTAATTGGTAAGGTAAAGCTAAACGAGGTCGAGCGGGAAGTATCAGCCTACCGTTGGACGATAAAAAGCAAAATCTCCGTGAACCCAAAGGATGAAGCGTTCTGTAGTCAATAACCAATCAAAGCGTCTGCTTTGTCGTGCGACAGGACTTGGAACAATAGGGGTACAGCTTACCATGTGCTCTTGGTCGGTGGATAGACAGCAGCAGTAGGGGCGTCCTCGCTCGCCGAACATTGCATGTACGTAAGACTGTATGGTTTTCTCTTCGAAAGCGGGGCACCTTCAATATTGTTCAAAACGGAATGAAGTACTTGCCTGGAAGAGCGAAAAGTTATCCAAGAGAGCCCTTCGGATTTCTTGTTTCGGACATTTCACGGCGGTACCACTGCTGCCAGAGTCATCGCAACGGAGGGCAGCGGTTCTCGGTTTATTCGCACCCGTGTCACTGGACCATCTTTGTAAAGCACGCGACCCCTAGATCTCTAAAGTAAACTAGAGCGTCGGATGTCGAATTTGACCAAGTAGGCACTTCGTCCACGTACCCGCCAGGGAACGGGACATTTCTTACACGTAGTACACCGCAGCATCGAATTACCACGTCTCTGAGCCGAGTCACAAAAGTTCAAGCATCTCAAGAGTTGCTGCGTGATATGTATACCATATTCGGCGAGGCACGGGCCACAGGAGCATCGACTCTTTGAATTGAGCTGGGCGCAATAGATTGCACCCACAGGGTAACGGAACATCTGTCAAAAACGCAGCGGACGCACCTGGTGCTCGCAGCTGCAGCGTCGTATCGTCTCTTCAGGCCCCGAGCTGAGATAAGGCCCGATCCGCCCTCGTCCAACTCCCGAAACGCGCCCTTCACGGCTTGGACCCGGTAGTCATCGTCGACCGGGCCACCGAAACGGAGCTCCTCAAGGACGTCCGTAATACTCGCACCATCGTCGCCTCCCTTCGTGCAAAACTCGATCACCTGAACATCGACGACAGTGTCGGGAGATTGATTTTGCACACCGGCGAAGGCCGTCGGGCGGCGGTACCGGCTAAGTATACCGCATCTCATGCCACTGTCGAGCGAAAGAGCTGCTCATGGTGAAGAAAGATGACCACGATGTTGCAGAATTGGGTTGAGTTGTCGCAATATAGTCGTCGTGGCCGTTCCCGCAGCAACTACAAGTACAGGCTGGTGATCAAGGACGAGCGGGTCTGCTGACTGGGCGTTAGGGGACGTGAAGATCCCCAAGACAGTAGTACGAGGAGATTCCAGACAGGGTACGTTCTCGAGAAACGCACGCCGTAGAGGTGTCAGAGAAAACTCATGGCGTGGTCGTGCCGGCACCAAGACCTCCGCACGAAAGCGATCGACCCCCTGCTTGTCGTAATCACATGCTGAAGCAGACAAAGATCAGGCATGAACCCTTCGTTTGTGAGCGCGCCACCTTCCTCAGAGTGGGTTTGTTCTATCCCCCTCCGATTGATTGTGGTTTTCCGATGTGCCGGGTGGAGATTAGCGCTAAATGTGTTTCCCAACAACAAAGCTGTACCCCAACCGAAACTTTCACACGACGCAGGCACAGTCTCAGCTTGACCACAAATTTCGGTTATCCTACTGAAAAGGCCACTGTGTCCATCACAACAAATCGAATGATTGAACGCTCTTCGTGCACCTTTTTCGCGTCGAACGCGGTCAGCGGTGTCAACCCCGCACCGCTAAGCCCCTCCATCAGGTCATTCGGCTGTAGCAATCGGTGTTGCGCCACGTCACTGGTGCGAGGTTCCGTGTGGTTTGCTTGTAGCCGCCGTTGCAACGCCTGATGGAGTCGGACTATTCCCATCTGCCCACCTTCGAGGGCCTGCGATGGTGGCATGCGGGCGATATGTGTGGAGACGGGGAGCAGACGGCGGGAGGGTGGGAGGTCAAGTTATGTGAGGGGAGCTGGCGGTCCCAATACGCAAGAGAGAAACATTTACGAGACAGGACCAAGCAGAGGCGGTTGGATAGAAGGGGTGGTAGTCAAGACGATTTAAAGTAAGGATGAAAGATGGAACCCGTCGAAACGGGACAACCTATCGGTTGGGCGTTGGCTCATCGAGATCGGTAAACTGGTCGATAGGTGTGGTCAAGTTTGGATTCTCTTACATCCATCTGGAGAGCCTCCAAACCCCTCTTTTCACGGCCTCCCCTGCCAAACACCCCGATCGAAAGGTCTGCCACGACGTACATAAAGTTCTGCTGCGAGGATCGTTGCGAGGATGCACCTCGAAGACAATAGCCCAAAAGCACCGTCCAGTTATTATCACGGGAAGCAAACCTCTAGGCTTAGGGCGAAACTATCCGTGCAGCGACATGGACAGGGTTTGACCAGGTTATCGGGAGAGAGCCTTCCGGCCTCAAACATCAACCAACATTGACACGAGTATACCGTGCATTGAATAAGACAGGATCTGAGCTACATCTATCACATCGATATCGACAAACCGACTTGCGCAGATAGATCATAAAGTAATGACGGGGTCGGTAGGATGTGGGAAAGTATGAGCAAACCTTTGCGCGAAGTCGTTCAACAGCCTTTGGGGTTCCCGGAAGCTTTCTCATCTCGGACATTCGGAAACGGGCCGGAACGCCCGTGTTGGCGCTGGTTACCGCGTCGGTCTTGAACCGAACGGGGCGAACGCAATCGTCTTCCACAGTCCTGCAAGTCTCGGTTCAATTTTCATCTTTGGGAAAAAATACCTACCCGTTGTACAGGTGGTTCGGGCGGCACGGTTGTGTTCTAACGACGTCCACTCTCGAGCGCGGCTCGATGTGTCAAGTGTCAGGTATCTTTCTTTTGCTGGAGATCAAACCTGTTTGGTTTTCGAGCTTGGTTTGGGCGGTGGGTTTCTTCTAGACACCGTTCCACACAACAACCATACAGTACTTTTCTTGCACCGGCTACGTGAAGGGTGACAAAAAGCCAACAGCACTACTAATAGTGGGGTACTGTCTCGTACGGCTTGCTTGCAGGTATTTCCTTTTTGGTGCACCCTCCCAACCGCTGCTATTTTTTTCTTCCAGGGAGAAATACATCGAGCACAGTAGAGCAAGGGCTGCTCCGTGTAAGACGTATGCCGACAATAGAGCACACGATTGGTTCGCCGCGGTACCAGTTTCGTGCATGAGGTTTCTGGCTCACCAGTTCCGACGGTATTCCCTAAGCTTGTCAGGATCGGTCATGCCTCCTGTGAGCTTGAAACTAGAAGCGAACTCCCTGCTCTGTTCAGGGAAACGCCGATGGGAGGACGCGACGAGGCACGTTGTGTACGCCCGTTCAAGCCGCGATGCAATAACACATTTCGTTTGATGCCACGACGATGAGGCATGGAGAGACCCAGCCGCATCTTTTCCCTCGACACCATCGAAGCTAGAAGAAAGCTACCTCGCATACTCCATCGTTGGTGCAAGTCCCTCGAGTCACCTGCGACATGCCTTTCTTGCTACAAACAACGCCAGCGTTGTTCTTATATCGTTGCCTGCAGCAGTTGTAGCACCATTTCCAGGAGTACCATGTGAAGAAGGGGACATAGCAAGAGCGCGACAAACCCAGGCGAAACGCATAAACCAACAACAGGAGAACTACGGCAATTTTGTTTCGAGACAAGAAGGAGACGCTTACACACACACACTACACGGCGTCCTCTCTCCTCTCGCACCGTCCGTGCCGATTGTGCTCACTCTCATCGTTCCCGAGGATAAGGTTCTGAGCGCTGAGCATGGGACGCGTCCATGTTCTTCATGAGATCGCTCATTTCTCAGAAGTTCTAGGGCTCTGGGTCGGCAAGAACAACGTGTCTATTCTAATGTGGTGCCGTGCTCCGGCTCGAACACGTAGCCTTGTATTCTAGTTCCGGATTTCTTTCTCGGTGTGCATGCGAGGGTTCCATTCTATTAAAATGTGCATCTGTCGAACTGTAGACTTGCACCTTTTGGCCGCACTTCTCCGGGGCAACAAACTCGGTGGTGGTAATCCCGGCCCAGTGTGAATCACCCTGCCGCTTGTCGTAGTTGATGACGCGAGTATAGTCGATGCTGGCATCTTCCGGAGGGGGTAGACCCGCACCGAACCTGCCAAACAGGGTCGTGATCATGCTGGTGTTGGTGTTCTGCTCTCTCGTATTTCGCAGCACCCAAGCGTTGCAAATTGCGGGGTGTGTGTGTGGGCATTGGTTGGACATAGCAATGAGGCCCTGATAATCTCTTGATCATCATTAAATGGTGTGCTGAAGAACTCGGGGTTTTTAGCATCTGAGTTCCACAGAGCGGATGTCCCTCCGTTGTCTATTCGATTAGCTTAGACGGCTTTGTCCAGGACTTCAAGATAAAGACTTGGCATTTCGTCGCACTCTTGTCGTTGTTGCTGTGTGTGGTGTTTTCCTACAGCCATGTACTTGTCGAGAATACTCGAAGCGCACGAAGTTGGGGCAGTTGTGATGGATGCTGGTCAGCGTGGGGGACGTAACGAGCCGAGTTTCCGAAAATCGTCGACATCAGTGCTTCCTCCGGGTCGCCGAAGCCTTCGTTCGGTTCGTTTCAGTGTGCTTTTCTTGATCCTGTGAACGTTTCTTGTTCCTCATAGTAAAATCCTCGTGTAGCTTTTGTCTCACCAAAAACGAAACCACGTGATATGCCAGCGTCTAGGTTGTCAACAATGTGCTACGAGGAATCAGCACACTGGCATGCCATGGGGGTGTGCCGCAACAGAGCAAAGTACCGGAGCGAGACACACGCCACAAGCGGCAATTGACCCAATTTGTGGCCTTTAGACGACATATAGAACCGTATGATGCGGCAGCGGTAGACTGTGGCGGTTTTGACGAGAATGTGGAAAATATTATAACTGTCTTTAAGTAATACCCTAACCCTTACCCTAATGGCTAGGCTACGGTAATGAAAAACAAAGGTAAGCCAAGTCGATGCAAAGAACAGCGGCGCACGCACCTTGTCGGTTTTTGCAAGACGCCTTCGAGCATCTGCTGATGGGCGTCGGTCCTGTACATTGCGTGCGGGAACCCTGAAGGAAGCATTTGCCCAGGCTCCTTGTTCAGCTCCACCCAGTTTCCACACTGCAAGTGGGGTCGCCGGGATGTGAGAATGATGCCGTTGGGTGTCAGCCCGTGCCTCACGTGTCTGGCGATCGCAGATAACAGGTTAGATGGTACCAGAGTTTTTTTTGTTGATGTGACCTTATTTCGCCCCACACAGTCACAACGAAAGATACCAGGTCCTCCCAATCATCCCGCTGTGTTGCGTGTCTCGTGTGACCAACCTACTGTTCGGTCTTACATAACGTGCATGCCATAAACTCACGGGGTACAGGGTAAAGGTTTCACTCATTCTTTCGTACACTCTGCCCCCACTGTTATACACCGCTTTTTATGGCTGCAGAATGTTGCAAGAAAAAATAAAGTTAATGCAAGTTTTCTTCCACCGTTCCTCATGTACGCTCAGACCCATGTTTATGGTCGCCAAATCTTTGAAAAAAATCTTCAAATATTATCAAACATTTGCGCGCGAATATCTGCCAGAGGAACATTTGAGTACCGTTTTTATGGGCAAAAAAATCTTTATCGTGTGGTTTCTCGAAATACATCGCACGTGCGGCGGGAATCGTGGTCTACTGCTACCAAACGATTTGTGACAGACAAACCACAAATGCGTCATGGAAACTGAATTTAACGAGCTCGCAAAGGGATCCCCACAACCCTTGATGCACTGAGCTGATGGTGCGCCCGCCAATATGTGGCGATAGCGCTCCGGGCGTGCGAGAAAAAATTTTCTCGGTGTCAAAAAGAGACCAAAACGTGCGTCAGCGCTTCCCAACGGCAAAAAGTCGGCCGCTTGAGAGGACACGTGAGTACAAAACTATCCAGCTCTCGTCCTCTAGACCATCGATTCATGTTTTGTCTTCTTGGGTGTCTTCTCCATCAACGACTCTCATCCGGTTGTGCGTGGGTTGGCAGTGGCCGCGCTCAGCCGGCAGGGAGGCACATCGTTATGCGCGCAAAGTTGTGGACACAACGTTTTTTTCGGTCTATTTTTTCACTTGAATATAGAGGGCTTGTTCCTCCGTCCCAAAAAAGACTTTTTCAACACATCGAGTTCACAGCGACGCGCCTCCCTGCCTGTTGAGTAAGTCCACTGCTGAACCACGCACACCCGGATGAGAGCCGTTGATGGAGAAGACACCCAAGAAGACAAAAACATGAATCGATGGTCTAGAGGACGAGAGCTGGATAGTTTTGTACTCACCTCTCCTCTCAAGCAGCCGACTTTTTGCCGTTTGGAGACACAAACCACGCTTTCTCCGTGCCCTCCAAACCACCCCTGTCTGTTTGTTTTTTTGTGCACGCTTGACGAGCTCCCGCCATGTATCAGCCGGCAAAACATTGACACGGTGACTCTAGGGTTGTCCGGATCCCTCTATGAGCTTGCTACGTTGAGTGTGCGCTACGCAGTGGTTGGTGTTTAGGACGGAAGGGGCGGTCGTCTACTAATCCCGCCGCTCTTGGGAAACATTTTCGCGACCTGCCCCATTTCAAAATGTTTGAGAATATTTTGTCAAACGAGCGACTTTTGCCCCATTTCAAAATGTTTGAGAATATTTTGGCGAAGATTTTCTCCCATAAACAGTGAAACAAAATCTTTGTCCGCAAATGTTTGAAAATATAAACATTTTCGCAAAGATTTGGCGACCATAAACATGGGTCTCAGTATGGGAGCTAAAAGTTGCACAAAAAGTTTTGAAACTTTTTCTCGGGAGCAAAAAGTTGCAATCTGGAGGAACAGTTCTGAAACTATTTCGCGACGAAGGTGTCGAAGAAAAGTTGCACGGCGCAACTTCCGCCAATCCACGTCAAGCTCCTACAACCGGTACCACACACGTAGACACTCTCCAGCTTCGATTGTGGGAAGGCCGTGATCACCGATATCTCGACGAATACTTAACTAGTTGCCTCAAGGTTTGGCGCCGTGAGGTGCCGCATGCGCCGGGAAGAAAAGTTTATGCTGTGCACGACCGTCAACGGCCGCGAGCCGCTAGTTCAAGTACGGTGTTTTCGACCGCCACGGGTTTGGTTATCCACCGATAACTTTCCGAAGGAGGAAGCAACAGCAATAGCAAGGCCACTCGGCGGGAGGTAGCTCTCTGCTCCATCTTTCATGCCCAAGTTTTGGTGCCGTGGGGTATCGTGAGCGTCGGGAAAGAAGTTTTGATTGACACAAAAATGCCCCACGTCAGAGAGCGGTTGGTTCAAGTTCGCGGGGATTGTGTGCTCATGGTTTGGTTTTCCAGCGATACCTTTTCGAAGGAGGAGACAACAGCAACAGCAATGCCACCCCGAGGGAGCTAGCTCTACCCAGCATCTTTCTGGTACCAGGATAGATGGGGTATCGTGCGTGTTGAGAAAACATGTTGCAACTACCCTCTCCCGCACGCTCTGGCCGTTTTTTTCGCGGTGTGACATGTAAGTCGTGGGCCTGCTTCTCGTCGTTGCTAAAAAAAAACATGCCTCCGCATTCCAGTCCTCCCGTGCACAAAACTTTCTTCGTCCCATAAAGAGCGTGCACCTAAAGTTCCATTGACGAAAGTTCCCGACCAAAAGTTGCAAAAAAAAATCTTGTACAACTTCCTGCTGCCCTATAAAGCGGTGTTACCACACTTTCACGTCGCGGAATTTCGTGCGATTGATACGGAATGTTAAATATCCTACATGCCGTATATGACACAAGATAACACACCCCCTGGGCCGATTTTCAAAGCTCGATTTCTCAACAGCAGGAAGAGTCACAGCGCCGAAAACGGCGGCGTTGGAACCGTCTCGTCGAGAGGTTTTCGAAAATGTATTGTTTCGTTTATGCATCCTCTTCGTCGTGGAGTAATCGAGCTTTGAAAATCGGTCCAGGGGGTGTGTTATCTTGTGTCATATACGGTAGTTCTTCGTGAAACGTTCTGTCGACCTCGTGGGGGACCCTGCCGCTTATCGTTTGGCTATCGTACGGATAAGGAAACGTGCTAGGATCGCTCGTTCAGCTTTTTCGCGTTTTGTGGTATTCCGCAGGACATTTATTTATTAGTTTTTCTCAACGTTATTACCTCTGCGGTGCTTGCTTTGCTTTGCATCGCGATTCCATGTATGTACAGTTCTTCCTTTCCGTTGCCGACCGTTTGGAAATCGCTTCCACATTGTTTGGGCCTATTGTGAGGGAAAAAACTGCCCACTCAAGCCCACTAATACTCTGGGTCAGTATGAGTTATTCTGAGGATGAACCAAATCTTCAACTCATTTGCTGTTATACTTGCCGCAACGTCTAGACACAGCAGCTCGCTGCCGTGTTCAAAGATTCTTCTTTATTACCACCTACAAATGATGTTGTATAGATTGAAGAGCTGCACGTACAGTGCTGTCTTGTGGACATTCTCCATTCTCCTGTGTTGGCATGCGCAGGTACTACTGTGTAGACTATGCCAAAACAATGTATCCTTGGCGCACACCTTCGTCTTCGGGCCATACTTTTTTTTCCCGCCCCTTAAGGAGTTGGATCCTCCTTGCAGCGAAGCCAGCATGATGGAGAGGTCTCTTCGGTGCTGTCTCCAACGGACGTCTGCAGCTTGCTAGAGTGTGCATGTATGCTCTGGGGGCAAGCGACAAGCGACGCTGTCGAAGAAACGCGGCGCAATAGAAACGCGGCGCAATATGAAAAAAACAAGTAGATGAAACTGCCGGTGGTTCACACGTACTGGACGACGGCCTTCGGAAAGAGCAACGGCAGTGGAAGTAACCAAGATCTCAGTGGCAATAACGGCCCCTCAAACACCGCCAAGATACAAGCCGACAGGTACGTGGCGCTTCGCGTTGTCGATCCAGATCAGATAGCCCGCAACAAACAAAGAGAGTCGGCTCGTTTGCAAGATGACGCGTATGTGGTCTACACGACCAATCTTTGCCGGCGAAGTGCAGGATCATCAGCAGTCTCCCCTCTCTCTTGCGGATTGCTTACAACATATAGGTCTGGTGACCTACTCTACTCTTCCTGCAGTGCAGGGATTTGAGTGTACGGTAGATACCCGGGTCCGTCGAGCTATTTACCGTCGTAGATGCACTTAGATGGCGAGCCTATACATGTCTGCTACTACAACAGCAGTACTCGGTCCCTGGCTGTTAGTTGAAAACTGGATTGCTGCTTTTCCATGATGACTCTGCCCAAAAACAACGAAACCCAACTGGCTGCTGTTTGGTGTCTTTAAAAGTACTAACTGCTCATCTAGACGCGTACGATCACAACCTATACGGACACCAAAACGACGTAGTTTAACTTCCCCCCCCCCGTCCCATGCTCTTCTTGTATCTACAGATAAATACTTGTAGTATCTTCGTAATTCATGTAGTTGAGGAAATGCGTTATGTAGAACATATTTATACGAACGTGATCATTTATACATTGAAAAATAGTGTGTCGCAGAAAGGAGGTATTTGGCGAGCAGCAATAAAATCACCTCGAAACAACACGTTTAGTTCAATTTTGTTGTTCATCGCTTGCACCTAGCTGTCCTACACGGCCCCCTCCCTCCCTAGAGGAGCTCGGATCCGGGGGCACTTAAAAGAGTGTCTCCGCGGTACCTCTTGCAAAATAGTTGAAGAGAAAGGCGGGTCGAACCATCCTTTCCTCATGGTTACTCACGAACAAGCGCTCCCCACTGCCACTGCTGAGGAGTATTCAGCAGGAAAGGCCGAGCATCACCTCTAGCCCAGAATCGAAACCAACCCTAGCCATTATTAGATAGAATGTGACACATTCACCTATTCTCCAATTGAGTGTGTGGAGAGAGAGCCACCGTCACGACCGCTTTCTGGACGCCGTCTGTTTTTCGTTTTGCTTAAAAATTTCCTGTTATTGGCGTGGTTTCGCCCACTCCATGCATCGCAGTAAGGGCGCGGTGGGGATTGCAGTTTTCCTCTTCAAAAATCCAGGAAACGCCTGCATATCTCAGTTTTTTAAAGTCTTACTCCAGTACGAAATTTCAATCGCAAATCAACCGTCCGCTGACCCCCTCTCGTGTACAATGTTAATATCTGAGATTGATTGTAGCCCTTGCGATTCACTGCAGACTGGCGGATCGCGATTTCCAAACGATCCCTCTATCACCGAGATCGGTGAGCTACAAGCAGGCTTATTGCAGCTGCTGTGCGGTCCGATGAAACGCTTCAAGCATACAGCAACGGCGAATCAACGCCTATGTGTGTCTGTGGGGCCGCGAACTTCAGCGCAGCTCTTCACTCACATGTTCTTCGCGGACCGCTAGTCTGCAGTGTATCGCAAGGGCTACAATCTCAGATACTAACATTGCACACGAGAGGGGGTCAGCGGACGGTTAATTTCGATTGAAGTTTCGTACTGGAGTTAGACTTTGGAAAACTGAGATATGCAGGCGTTTCCTGGATTTTTGAGGAGGAAAACTGCGATCCCCACCGCGCCCTTGAAGAGGTGTACCCATATATGGCACACAATTTTCAGCATAAAACAAACAAATGATGAAAACACGACACCTTTCCCGTAGGCAGAAGACCGAGCAAACATGGGAGAAATGGTGCCTGACTGGGCGCAAATGTGGGGGGCTAAGGTCAAGATGCCAACAGACATGCGCGACGACATGCTGAGAGATGCCATCGAGACATGCAGGGATGCCTTGGATCACTGTGCGGATTTCGAAGCAGAAGGTATTGCTAAATACTGTACACCAGACAGGCCGCTTGTCGATTGGGCTGTATAGGAATCAACGCTACAGAAAACGGACGTAGGCGTTGATATTGGCAGTTCCGTGAGGTCATGCGTCACACAACTTGACGACACAGCAAACGTAAAGGTTCTTCTGGGCTGAAATAAGCGGTTGGTTGACACTAAATGTTGTCGCGTGGGCACGAAATTGCTTCGAGGAAGAGTAGCAGTAATCCTCTGCCTACGCTTTTAGACTGTCGATGATGAGAGAGAGTATATAACACCGCTAAAGTACTCGTTATCCTTCGTAGTTGTTTTATGTGAGAAGATAATGGTTCCTGAAGCGCTTGCGAGAGACTCCGACGGTATTTTCCCTTTTCAAATAATTGAGTTTCACGCTTTCAAAACAGGACTAGCGGCAGCAGAGAAGATCAAAAAGCATTTCGACGCGCGGTGGGACCCCAGCTGGCATGTCATAATCGGTCGAAATTTCGGCTCTTTCGTGACGCACGAAACAACGTGAGTCTTCTCTGTTGCAGTCTGTCTAGATACGGAACGGAAACGCGTATCCTTTAGCTCGTAACAGGTGTACAATGGCGCGTGCAAGCGTCTGTTGAGCGGGGCAAGACTTGTACTGCCTAGATCTTCTATGTAGGAACGCTCGTTGTTCGCTGCGTTGAGTATCACCATCATGGTTGAGGCAGCGTGATTGACGCCGTTGACACCATTGACCAACTGCCAGCTTTACGGTGATGACCGCATCCTACCTCACGACAACCCGGATCCACTTGGTATGGCTCCAATGCTGGGGATAGGTTTGTTTCGCCCAAGGCGTTATCGTCTTGGCTCCCGTCACCGCGTCCACTGTTTTTCACGTGAAGAGGCTTCATGTCATATGATCCGTAGTTTGAACAGAAGCGTACGGGAGACATGATTTTAGACGCGTTGCTTTTACTCTTCAACGCAAAAAAGACTACAGTAGCAGCATATTTCCGGACACGTTACCACCTCCCGTGTATCTCCCTCCCTCCTTCTCCCTCAGGAGGACGAAAACTAGGATGGCCTTTTGATTGCGTTGTGCCCTGTTCGTGTATGGTTCTTCCCGTGGTAAATCTCACTCGGGTCTTTCGGTTTGAGGATCTTGCTTGTGGTGCATGCGACACAGAGCCCTCGCTAGACACTGAGCTCCAATGGGCGACACAACATCGTATACCTACTCAACAGATGTTCGAACATGTAGTTTAGGCCCTCAAGCGGCGTGACATCTTCATCTTCCCAAAGTGGCAGAGAAACTGGTATCCCGAAAGAATTGGCTTGGTTGGTTGCCATCCAGGCTACTGGGACGACGTTCCTGAAACATATTCAGGACGAAGAGTAACTTGCTGGCAGTTCTGGGGTCTTCAGCTATTGTCTTTTTTCCCGCCAGTGACCTGGATTGTTATTTCTCGGGGCTTACTTGTCCTGAATGAGGTCTAGCTTACCCATCATGTTCGCCTAATCAAAACGGTAATTTGATGGTTATGCTAAGGCACGACCTTCCCCCGCGCGCGCGCTACTCATCATTCCGTTTTCCTCTTGACTCCCGCGCTTGCTATGGACCTGGCATCCCCATCTCTCCCTCGCACGAAAGGTGTTTCGTTTACTTCTACTTGGCAGACAAAGCGATCATGATGTACAAGGCCGGCTGACAGCAATGGTTCTTTCTATTGGCGCGAACGGCAAGGAGCGAAGCGCGTCCCGATGTACCCTCTGACGTGATCTACCACGGGGAACTTGTTGTATCTTAAGGAATCACCGCACGTCACGCGCAAGGCGGTATTGGTGTTGTTCCGGAACGACGAACATGCCGTCCACTCAAGTTCGAAGGATAGATACTACAGTAGGCCGGTGGCGGGGGTCTCGCTTGTTAAGAACCAATATCCTTGAGATAGCTGGAAACGCATCTGAATGGACGCGGACTTTCCTCTAGGGGGCCTCTCGGCGGGGGGCTCTATTCCGTATTCTGCGTCGCCTACTGAGTACCGACCAGGCGCAGAAGAAGTAAGCGTACTAAGGTCGTCGCACATGGCGACAGAGGCGCGGCGTGCTCTTCTGTGAGAAAGTTTTGTGACGAATTCAGGGCATGTACGCCTTGTCTTGCAGAAGTCGTCGCTATGTTCCAGCTGATATAGGTACCACGCTGAGGGACAGCGTAGAAGGTCAATCATACACGATTCAAACCCCACGCCGTGCAAGAAGAAAACAGCTACAACACTGCTGTTGTGTCCATGCTGACTTGGTCAATACAATGATCTCAAACATCGGGTGTTCTCAATCACCCCACTCCAGCCGCACTCTCCTTCAATGTGAGCTTCGACCTGTTTTGCGAAAAGGTATCATCGCAGCCAGGTGGTGATGTTGGTGCCCATATCTTGAAATAAAGAGATGCACCATGATCAACGCGCTCGGAAGAAAACTCAGCAGTGTATTTGTTGTCGTAACGCGCTGCAGCAGCGCTAAATGTCAAGCGCCTGTATCAACAGACAAGGCAAGGCTTCCTGGCCTCGACATATCGACTGGACGATGATATACCTTAGTGCGCAGAATTAGCTCAACCCATCGAGCAATAACAATAGACATATCGCCTACCATTGGTGAGAGAGTCTTGAGTTCCTCCCATATACTTTTGGGAGCAGTGCCTCCTCTGCCGAAAACCCCAACATGGTAACTAGTTCCCAAGTAACTCGCCAAACACACAGCAATTGTTGCCACCCACCTGGACAGGCTCGACATGAGTAACCGACGCTCTCCACCTGCACAACATCTCGTGATAAGCGACGTTAACACTAGCAGCAGCTGTTGGGGTCATGCTGGGGTGCCCTTGTGTGCACACGGCATGGGAGAAGTATTGCTGAGCCAAAGTCACGGGATCCCACAAGCAACCCGCCCGCTTGGAACAGCGAATGGTGGATATGACTTCCAGGACATGATGTTAGATGCGATCCTTGCATATCGTCGTAAAAGGGCGGGTGTGCCCTACAGCGTGGTTATGCTCGCCCCAAATTGTGCGTGACTTGAATGATTGGCGTGGTGTCTGCTCCGATGTTAGTGAGCGACCGCACGATCCTGGTAGGGCACGCCTCAATGCTACTTCAAAGGAACAATGTCGCCCCGTTATGATCATTATGTGGTACTCACGAAATTGCGGCCAAAACCTACTGTTATGATCCCCACCTGCTGCTGCCGCTGGCGCAACAAGAACTTGGAAGATGCCTCTCGGACACATCCGGTGGCGGTGATGAGGGCTGGGTCCGCATGGCCCACTCCGGCGGTTGTCAACACAGCCATTCGGCCTTTACGTGCTGGTTTTTCGCAGCCTGACAAAGGGCTTGTACGCCACCGATTGCGCCGGCAAAATTCTTCCATCTTGCAAAATAAATGCTGTGCTATAGCTCCCGCGTATCACTTCCGAGTTCCCAAACTCTGCTGCCGTATCGAGCGGGGACGAAAGTGCCCTCCTGCGAAGTGGCCTGCCTCAAAAGTGCGTTTGGTTTCGCACCAGGAGGAGGATAACGCGCACAGGTTTACAAAAAGTGCCGTTCCGTCATTCCGTTGGACAGCCGCTCGTCGGGACTCGACTTCCCTCGATCAGCGAGCTCATCACTTCCAGATACATTGCTTCCGCAGCCGTGCAATTGGTGTGTAGCCTTAGGGTTTTTCAACTTCGAGGCTGGCGTTGGCTTTGATGAGCACCTTTTGGCCATGCTGATGCTGAGGGGGCCGGGTGCCACTTCAGAGAGGCCGGGGAGTTGAACGACAAGAGTTTACCCTCTAGACTACAACCGTAGGCTACAATGTCCGCCGTGGATCGGAATTCCGAACGGACCGGCCGTGCTCCTAGATGCTCTATCGCTCTGCCGCTATGACAAACGTGCCTACGCTCAAGGGTACACGTGAACAAAATTTCAAGACACATAGGCCTACTAATCGAAAATCGGGGTCACTTGGGGGGGGGGGGTGTACTCATAGTCGTGCATGCCGTAATCGTTTGACCATTGACCTCGCATCCCTACAAAGCCGGGACGGAGCACGCCGGGTTCTCACCGGACCAGGCTCTCACATCACCAAGCGCGAAGCGCCGTGAGGTATTTGGCGAGTCGCATGAAGGGTGAGCTGCATCCTGCTAAGGGTGTTCGGCATCTTGTGCTTACCTCCTTGCGTACGGATGACAGCTACGTATGACTTGATTTACTTTCTGGTGCTTTCAGTTGTAAGCACTGTGTAACTGCCTCGAGGGTGCTTGACCATTTTTAACACAACGTGGTGCGATCATCCCCCTTGCGCGGAGTGAGGGTTCTCGACCCCGCACAACATGATCTACTCGACCACCATTCATGGTTACCGCAAAAAAAAAAGACAAAGGAAAAAAAAAGACGGTTACCAGGTTGCCGAGCTCACGAAGTGATCGGCTTGTTTTACAACATCGCTGCCAAGCGACGAAAACCCCACCCCGATGGCAAACACCGGGAGGGGCGGCTTGTTTTACAACGTCGTTGCCAAGCAATGAAAACCCAACCCCGACGGCAAACACCGTGGGGTGGGGTGGGGGGATACTCTTATGTTTTGCATGCCTTAGTGGTTAGACCATTGACCACGCGTCTTCGAGAGGACGGAGCATTGTTCCCACAGGACCGATCACCGATGGCCAATCGTTCCTTTCTACTTTGCCAAAGGTGGCTCAAACATATCTTCCATCCTAACGATATCCCTTCCCGCCTTTTCAAACCACTTCCTACTCCCCAGTACAGCTACCGTCCTCTCCTCTCTATTCCATACCTCAAACATCTCCCTGTACGTCCCTTATATTTTACCCAGCTCAGTCATGTACACTTCCCTCTCCTCTTCGTACCACGGACATTCCGCGACTACATGACCACGGTCTTCGCATTCGAAGCCGCAATCACATTTGAACTTGTCGTCTTCGTCGTCTACCGTCCTATGTCTTCGTCGACATTCTCGAAGGTCTATGTCCCCGGTCCTGAATTTGACTTTAAGCTTTGTCCCTGCATCCATTGGTCAATGTAGGTAATCCTTGAACCCTATTCCTTCTTTCAACATTCCGTACACTTCTAGACCCTCCTTATCCTTGGTTTCTTTCCTTAGATTCTGTTCTTCTCTCTCGGCACAAGCAACAGATATCTTCTCCTTGAACCCCTGTAGACCCTCCGTTTCCAGCGTTTCATCTTCGTCGATGTCTAACCCCTTCCATACGTCCTCTACAACCTTGACCCATTCCGTGGGTTGTCTACCCCTCTTTTTGTTTGCCCACTTCGCCTCCCATACTATTCTCGGCAACGTCTCCTCTCCCATCCCGCACATGCGATACTGCTATGTCAGCTTCTTGAGTCTCTTCCCGATCGTAGGGATTGGATCCCCAATTCTGCCCTGACGGCTGCATTACTTGTGCGCTTGGAGCATCCTAGGGTGATTTTCGCTGCTTTCATCTGCGCCGCCTCGAGTTCTTTCACTACCTTCTTATTTCCTTCCCATACTTCAACGGCGTACTCTAGCGGCGGTACGATTACGCTCTTCAAAACCGCCAATTTGATGCGTGTATCGAGGTGCCGGTTTGCGAGTATTGGGTGCAGCTTCCCTGCTCGTGCTTTGCCCTTTCCCGCTACCTTGGACATGTGTGCATTCCACGAGCAGTCTTTTGCGATTACTCCGAGGTATGTGTACTGGTCCAGTAGTGCAATCTCCTCGATCCCCCACTTCCATCTATGTTCTACTGGTTCCTCCCTGACCTCGTTGCACACCATGACAGCACTCTCATTAACGTTGGCAGACAATCTCCACTTATCAGAAAACTTCTTCGCCGCGTCAATTTGTAGTTGCAGTCCCTCAGGGGTGTCCGACATACCAACAAAATCATCCGCAAACAGCATTCCTGACACCGAAGTTTCCGGTGTCCCCTACTTTTACTTCCTTCCGGACTGCCTCTACGACGTGGGGTGGGGTGGGGGGGGCAAATTTGGGGGGGGGGGCGGGGACATATCCCCATGTATCCCCGGGTTTTCCACCGAGGCGTCGGCGCTTCGGGGTCATTTGGGGGAGGGGGGGGGAATATCCCCATGTATCCCCGGGTTTTCCGCCGAGGCGTCGGCGCTTCCGGGTCCTTTGGGGGGGGAGTGGGGGGGAATATACCCGCCCATCCATGTATCCCCGGGTTTTCTGCCGAGGCCTCGCGGTGCTTTGGCGTCCCGCTCTCGCATGGTGTGCATCACGACTCACTGGCGCTGCTGGCGCTGTGGAGCTGTGGAGATCCCCGAGAGATGGCAGACACCCCGCACACAACAGGGTCATCTTCGCAATCTTCGCATGCATACCCCAGGAGCAGACGCTATTATAGCCCGCCAGTCGCCCGTGTGGCCGATTGGTCCAGTCAAACGTAACCTACAACAAAGAAGACCAAGGCTACGAACGAGTAGATTTGCGAGAGAGACTATGTTCCCTGTTGTGCAGTGCTAGAGGAGACGGCAAGGACAAGTTTGCAAGGCAGGTGGTTCAATGTGAAAGCTGGTCAATGACCTGTTTGAATTCAGTTGGACTGATTTCTTTCGAGCTTTGATCGATACTAGTCTTCTGCATACACTATGTATTTCTTGGTGGTAGTACATATTAGGCGCTACGCGAACTAGGCTGCTTGTTTTTGTGTGTTCCTGTAGTAGCACGGCTGGGTGAGTATGGGTCCGCATCGATGACGAGGAGGTAGATGCAGAACGGGTATTGTAACGAGCGTGAGGCACACATACATTTGTTTGCCATCCATCTACTACTTACTGCAAAAGCTCACAGTTAATTTTCGACGATTCATGGTAACTTTTCGAATTTCTTCCTTCTCCGGGGAGGGGGGTGGCCTATGTGTCCGGATTTTTTTTCCCCGTTCACCCTTGCTAAGCTGTTCAGAAAGCACAGCAGGTATCTACCAACCAGTGGCCGAGTCTCGTCATCATGTGTTCTTTGGGTTGTGTGCGGTTGTGCTACAATTCAACTTCAGCAGGCTACCCACACCAAATGGTTGCTTCCGGGGTGCGACACACTGCTAGCCGGTAGCAGGGTGAGGGTAAATACCAGCCCCACGCAACCGTCTCGTGCGTGCTACCTTGCTACTGCTACCTACAGATCACACAGCCAGTCTGGACCTTGGACCGCCGACGGGACTGTGAGCGATCTCCGTAGAACCGTAATTTTGGTGGCGAAAACCCGGGGATGATTTCTTGTCATCCCCTTAAGGTTCAAACCAAAGGGGGAGAAGGAGTGATCCAGGCTCCTGGCATCCCGGCATTCGGCACCCGGCAGCAACGCCAGAAAGGGGAGCTTGCTCCTAAGGGCACCCGATAGCTGCTGCTGAAACAGTTCACTTGAACCCATGGCTATGGTAAGGGCTACTGCTTCAGCCTCTGCTGCTAGTAGTGCTGCCACGGAGTGGGCGGAGGGCCTTGGAGGAGGACAAGGAGACGATCCTGGACGTCCTGGGAGGCAGACGTGCTGGGCTGTCTGGCACGAAGAGCTGGCAGTGTTTGAGGTTCTGCAGCCCCGAGGCGACTCGCTAAGATCCATGGTGAGGCTGTATGAATGTGTGTACATGGGGCCGTAGACTACAACAAGAAGACATGCTGTTGTCAGGGTGGTTCCATGTGAATGAACCCTTTCCACGTATTGTCCTCTTATACTTCCCATTGTAACATGACATGTTAGGGGACGACCTGGCGCAGCAGGCTAATGTTGCACGCAGAGGAAGGTCTCTGGCTGGTCGAGCGTGGTATGCTGGCTGTCCACCCTTTTTCTCCCGCTCCGAAGAAAAACCACGATCCCACCGGCACGGCCTCGCCCGCAGCACCGTCGTCGGGGATAGGGCGAAAAAACGACGCGAGGGAAATGCATGATGAGACCGGTATCAGCAGCTCTACGCCGGAGATTGCGCAAGAGATGAGAAACATCGAGCACGAAGAGAAGGAAAACGAGGGAGGCGGGCAGGAAGGGCTTACTGATGACGTTGATTCGTCCGCTGGGAAGAACGCCCGTCCAATTCCACCGAGGGCTGAGCTGTCGCCAATAGACAGCGGGGTGATACTCACGGGAGAATCCCAACACTCGCTAGACCCTGTCGCATCCGGAGAAACTGCGCGGACGGGACAAGGGGGTGGCTGCCGAAAAGTACCAACCGCCGCCAAAGAGGGGCGGCAAAGGGCGGGCTGTAAACGGAGCCGGCCGGGGCAGGGTAGGGGTGAGCGGGTCGTGCGACCTGCCGCCGCCCTGTCGGTGTCGGTCAGCACGCTCTATGAAATGGTATTGGCGCGGGCTGGTGTGCCGTGGGAATGTTATCGCACCTACGCGGAGCTAAAACGAAGGTACGTGATCTTTGTGCCTTCGCGGGTGGAGAGGCGTGGTGATGTTATGATGCAGACTGTAAGGGTGGCTACATACGACGGAGGGTGTTAGTGTTGGTGCTGGTGCTTCTATAGTGATGAGGACGTAACGTTTCGAAAACGTGGACACAACCCGATGACATCTTGTTCCTCGTATTGTGAAACAGGTCGTACGTGGTCAGGCGTCAACCGGAGGACACCGTCGGACACGACGATACCGCTCCTAGAGCGGCACCTCTGTCTTGGTTTCAAGGCACGGGCGCCACCAAAACGAGCAACAACAAACTTATCACAGCTGCGAACCACACCTCCTCACCGTCCTCCTCCTTGCCGGTGACGTTCCATGTCTACAGTAACCCGTCGGGCTGCTCCTCCTCGTTCCGCAAGCGTGACCCTGGCCCCCCTGACGCTCTCGTCGTGGTGTGCCGCTTCGGGGATCCCATGCCGGACCACCGCTCGCTCGTGGCCCTCGTCGAACTCCACGCCAACATGCAGATGAAAATGAGCATGTCCCAACAATGGCGAAGGCGAGGGCGAGAGGACAGCACAGCTGGAGTTGTGTCGGACCTAGGCCCAGACGAAGCAGCGCCCGATCGGGGCAGTGGAAGCCCGGAAGTTCCCACCAGTGGCCTTGAATCAGAGCGCGTGACATCCGGCGGAGGCCGAGAATCGGGCCAGAAAGGCAGCTTGTTGGACGAGGACCGGCAAAAACGACAGGCCAGGACGTTGCCGGATCAAAAAAAGGGGTTAGATGGGGGAAGGACGCGGGGGAGGCTTACCACCGAAGGCAGTGGAGGCCGCACGTTGGCGTTTTCTAAAGGAGTTGAGAAGTTGTCGACGCCAGGAATAAAGTTGGCGGTCGTGTCGGGGGAGGCGCAAGTGCAACTGTTTGACGTTGGTCTGCATGATGCCCTTGAGGCCGCAGAACTCCCCTCTTAAAGCCGAGCAGCTAGCAGCTGCTGCCAGTGGATGTTATGCTATCCTTGTGCGGTCCCAAACACGCGTCGAATTTCTCCTTGAATTTCGGACTTAAGATGTGAATTATTCCCACTGCCACTCGACAATATGCAGCGCAGGTATGATGATGCTTTGGTGGAATTTGGGACATGTTTTTTACCGTGTTGGAGTGTTCGGTCTCTGGGCGATATCCTTGGCCGCTGCCGTGACCTCCTTTGTCGTTCTCTTAGGTGCTTTCCTGCTGCTCAGCAGACTCCAGCCGCCCATGGTGCTGATCATTCTTCATTTTGAAGAGGCGTCAGGTCATGTTTCAGAACGCGCGCAGTTCCTCCAAGATGAACATCATCAGCAAGACATGTACCGTGCGGATCGAAAATCTTGTTATCCCCTGATAGGCACCTACCTGCCTAGGAGACTGAAATACTGTATATTGCACGAACGCCTGCACAACGCCTACGCCATGCCATGCAAACAGTTCCTGAATGCACCGACCAGAAAAGTACCGAGTGCTCTCGAAGGAAAGCGGCAGCGCAGAACGAAACCATGAAAGAGTGTGTGCGTGCTGCAGGTGTGGTATGGGAGAGCATTAGAATGGGGGTCATAGGACATACTGGTACTGCCTGGACAGAGCAAGTCAATAATTCTCCCACGATCAATCCTACCAAGCAAACACAACAGAGAGTGAAACTACGCCAATGGTGTACCCAACTCCCCAGATATCATAAACGTATGTATACGCATTCAATTCAAGCGTTGGGAGACCTGTTGAATTTCTCCCTGCCCTATCACTCCCCTGTCATCAAACTTGCCTTGCATCGCCACCAAAACGCGATGTTATTCGCCACGCCTCCACGATCCACCATCACCACAAAGTGGCTTCTCCCCCCAAACCAAAGAAATGAGTCATTGACTAGAGAAAACAGCCGTTGAAACAAACACATGGGGGGGCTCTGCAGAAAGAAAACACTGGTAAATTACAGTCTCCGCCATCGACTTGCGGGGCTCATCACGCATGACAAGCGCATCGTCGCCAGTATTAAAAGTGTTCCACTTTTCTCCCGCCAACTCGTACAACAACTACCAGAAAACACACTTCAACTCGCCACGCACAGAAAGTGTTTACCCTCATAGAGGGTGATGAACAACTACTACCTTTAAGCTTCTGTCCGAGGGCAAAGCACAATCGAAAAACTCGGGTTTCTTGTCTTGCTGTCGTGTTTCACACAACAAGCTCTCCCGCCCCGGGACTCTGTCGTGGCCAACAACAATTGCCCCATCCACCAGCGGGAAAACTGGGCTCTGACCGAAACAACATGACTATTTTTACACCATCTTACACACGTAAGTTGTACCCGGCCGTGAAAAGCTCGTGTTTCATGTACAAGAAGAGACATCCCAGCCCTACCGGAGAAAAGCGACGACACTACACATCAAAATTCTTGGGGGCATCTTCCCACTCAGAACGTGGAACGGGATGTGTGTCCACGCGATTTTGGAGAGCACGATGCCAGGAGCCAGCAGATTTGCCGTCATGAACAGCCGAATGGACCCATTGTTCATTTTGTGCAAAAAGCCTGAAGATTTGTGCTTCTAGCGTACAAAATCCCATATAGGTCTTCCCGCCGCAGACGAGGTTGCGCAATCCGCGCGTGGTAAGAGCCAGCAATCTCGGCTGCTGCATCTATATTTAGTACCATACCTAACGTGTTGTTTACTTGCCATTTAGCACAAAATCAACGGAAACGGCGATCCGTGCTTTCAAAAGGCGTCGTTTAGGACTCATCGATGGCGCCTGATCCTCGCTAAACGGACGGCACTAGAGTATATCGCACTAAAATGTTTCGTCGCTTTCATCCATAATGCCTCGCGATGGCATCGGGACCGGGCAAGATGGTATCCGCCGCAGCAGCAACACTTTCCGGGTTCCTCGCAGCAGTTGCAGCAGAGAGAGAAGAAGACGGCAAAGCAGACGAGGCCCGCAACTTCTCCGCGCCGCCACCACCGTGCCCAACCCTATTGACGCCATCGGTCATCGAACTTCCAAAGCCGGTGCCGCCTGCGCCGCGGTCGCTGCTGGTTCCATCGAAAGCCGTGCTGAGCTCTTCGGATGATGATTCTCCCTGGGACTCTTCCTGCCCGTCCTCCCCTGCGTCCTGCTGTTCCTCCGGATCTTCTGGGTCGTCGTAGCCCAGCGCCACAAGGAGAGGATGGCAGGCGAGCTGGACCTGTTGCCGCCGAAAGGTCGGCATCTCGACGGCCCATCTGGTAGCCCTGAAAATATTTCATCCAGTAGGGGAGGGGACATATTGGAGTACAACGTAAGGAAGAGGGGGGGCGTACCCGTCGTCTGCTTGTTGCTAGCCATAACTCTTTGGCCATTGACCATGCGCCCCTATTTGGGCGGAGGACCACACAAGAGCCAGAAAGTAACACCACGGGAATTTGCGGCGTTCTTGGCTTTTTCACGATAGTAATCTTCGAATTACGTGGTTTCCCTTTTCTGCCCCCCCTTCAAAGATCGGTCTCTTGTGGCTGTTACAATATGCATCTCCCCTTCTGCGATGGTTCGCCTATCTCTTGTACTTCCCAAACACGTTCCAACGTGAGGATCTGCTCTCTTCAGCTGCGGAGCCTGGGCGGGCAGCCGAAGAATCTACGTGCAGCTGGTTGATGTCAGCATAGGCGGCTTGTTGAAACCGGCCATGGGAGGATAGGAGATACGTTTCAGTGACGCAACAACTATAATCACAAGCAACATCACCCGGCAATACCAACAACAGGAACAAACCTAGCCAGGGCATCGCACAAGGACGACCACTCACCAATCGAAGCCTCCCATAGTGGACTTGGAGCCATTCCCCGCCACTGCTGTCCCCGGAGAATTTTCGGCTGAACTTCGCATAGACGTCGATCTGATGGCTTCCGTAACCTACAAGGCAGTCATGCACGAGCGTAGGCCGTAACGAGGGATGACAAGGGGGCTGAAAAAAACCGCGCGAGGGGGGTAACCTATTAGGTCGAGCGTATGGCCATGGGGACGTACGCAGAGAATCAATTAACCGAGATCGAGGTAAGGATGCATTGCACCACCATCAGCCGAAGCCACGTGACGAAGTGGTGTGAGTGAGCACTACGCGTTCGATTTGTCGTACAAGGACGTATTCCAACATCAGAGTAGCTGGTGGTGGAAGATCTTTGGTTTACCCATCGCGAACTATCTTCTTCACTTTCCACCCCCTGATGTCTGTACTAGCAAATTCCCCACCTCGAAAGGAAATCCTTCCAGCTGCAACCAGCTGTACACGCTCTTTGTCATGGCATAGGGCGCCTCAACAAACTGAGATTGGCCAAGCAGGGCGGGGGCGGATAGCGGGAGGTGGGGATGCGAGACGGGACGGAGGCAAGGGCAGAAACGAGGCGTATTCCTTGGAAAGAACTTGCTCGACTCCGAAGGAAGCACACATAGTGTCGGTTACAAGACAAAGTCTGCACGAGGGAGAGACTCGCCTTGGGTGGTAGATGTGTGGATGGAAATGGTCTAGGGAGTGTACGAAAAAACGGAGGTTGTCCGTGTCTCACCATCTCGTGCTTGAGCACCCGGAAGCGCTGCTTGCCAAGCAAGGTCAAGAACTTGAGCTTGTTCTCGGCTGACGTGCAGAGTCTGGAATGCGTTTTAGAAACAAATAGGATACGCGAGGAATGGGAAAGAGGCACAACGTGCCATGGGGGTTGATTGGCCCTCGGACCCTAATGAACAGGCATGGCGACGAGACAGAAGTTCCGTGAGAGGTGCTAAGCAAACCGACGTAGGAAAGGGGAATGAGGGCCAGGAGGAGATTGCGACCTCCTTCTTCGGCGTGTGTCTAAGGTATCAAACACGACCGAAGTATGGAACGTAGTGTTTTTACACAGGGAACCAACAGAACGTGTACACTGTGGCTGATTTTCCAGTTCTGCCTTGAGTGGTATTTTTGAAGGTGGCAGCAGCTCCAATGAACCAAAGAGGTAACGAGCCACCATTCACGACTGGTGGGAGTTCCGTACTTCCTTTTCGCGTTCTCCTGCACCTCTCCTACTTCTCTCCGAAGGAAGATAGCGATGACGCAATAGTATTGGGGTAGTTTGGCCCAGTAACACCGGCCGCGCGTGTTCTGTCTGTTCTGGCCCTATAATTCGCCCGTCTTACACAACGCCAGAAGGTCTGTCTGAACAAAACCATCGTGGTCCTTGCATCAGCACGTTGTTGCGATGGGATCGACGTATGGTAATATGCTTTCAAAAGCAGCAATGCTCTGAAAAACAACGTGGACAACAGGCTGTGATTCGTTGAAGCGTGTAGTCCTGTAAATTCGGCGACTTGTGCGAAATACTCCGTCAACCCCATACCGTTCCGGCTACTTGGCTTGATGCAGCGCGAACTCGAAGGTTGTAGCGTCAACAAGGCAACACGACAAGCCAGCCACGAGCCCTCTCACCTAGAAGCCACGTCGGAGCAATCCCGTGCCATGGACCGCTCCATCTTGTTGTCGGATTTTTCCCATAGCTCTGCCATTCCATGGATGGCAGCCCGAGGGTCGCGCACGATGTGCAGAAATTCTAAATCCAGCTCTGGCGTTGATAGTCTGGGTGCAACCTTCCGCACAACAACATGTTCCGTTCCGAGGCGAGGGAAGGGGAGGCAAACGCATGTATGGCCCTGCACCATTTTAACTCCGTGGAAACACAGTTTTCGGGGAGACGCTTCGATCGAACAATGTTTGGGATCAGGAACTGCCACCATTTAGCTATCGGCATGTAAGACAACACAAGATAAAGTAAAGGTCAGGTAAAGTGGTGCTCCTACTTGGCAACGGTTTCTGAAAATGATATCAAGGCAACAAAACACATACTGGTGCAAAACACCGATAAATACGAAAAATGCGCACGAAATTGTGTGGAGAGCGTACCTCCGCAAGCCGAGTCTCCTTGACAACGACGACGCTGCTGAGGCGGCACTGTCGAATCACCGCAGCCCTGGTCTCCTCGTCATTTTCGTCCGGTGTACCCTCCGCCTGCCACCTCAAACCCTCAGACTCTGATAAGACTCGGCTCTGTGCACAGAATAGCACCAATCGAATAATTCCGTGGGAGGAAGGAAGGCGAGGAAGGGATCGGGCTTTTTGCGTCAACGCCGGGTGGACGTGGGATTGGGGATAATCTAGAATCTCAGTCCTCAAGTATTGCAGGTTCCGATGACGGCCAGAAGAAGACGTCGACAAGTCGAGGCACGCGACGAGGTCAAGGACAGCGGCATGACCGCGTGGAGGCATCCATTGTTCCAGTCTTCACCTTCCTGTTTCTACAAGGCAGCGCTCCAAGTTTTGTCCCTCCCAAGCCCCCTCCTCCATTCTACCTATCTTATGTTCTATCGCCTATGCGGACCAAAAACCTACACCTATTAGCCTCATAGAGGGAGTTTTCGGTTCAAAAAGATCCTGCATATTGCACGGCCAACACCCGCTTACCCTCTCCACAATGTACGAGAACGAGAAGAGATTGCGGATGTCGTTGGTGGTTGGCTGGCACGCCAGCAGCCTCGTCACGGCCAGCGAACATGCCCCCGCGTCTAAAGCCTCGGGCCCTCCGCCCATGCGGCAGGGATCAGCAACGTAGAACACGCGGGTGTCGGCGTTGAGAACGCCGCCCACGGCGTGCCCTCCCGAGCGTTTCTCGGACAAGAGGAGGACGCGGCGCTGCTTCTTACCCGTCGTCGCTAGTTGGGAAAGATCGGGACTGGTGTCATCCTGTAAAACCTGTTGTGTGGATTCGTTTGTCGCGATTGATCGGCGAATCACGCAATGTTGAGGGGGTCGTGAGGAGGGAGCGTTTGTGCTTGTATAGGGAGAGGCGAGTCGCAGGAAGATGTAGCCGTAGACTAGAAAACGTAGAAAGACAGCGAGTGTGCAGAGGCTTCCGTTATTCAGGGGAAACCGGATCTCGCAGACTGCAGTACTACCATGGTGTGGTCGTGTTTGCGGGATCATGCGTTCGCGGGGTGCCGACACGAGCAGTTCAGGAAAGCATGCTCGATTCATGGAACGGTCTGCGTAGTTAGTTTTTTTTCCTGGTCAACTTGCACAGCTTCAACTGATGTGCAAACACATTTATGGTCTGCAAAATCAGCACTCGGCACCTGCTTCCGGGTGTAGCTGCCCAGGGTGATGGCTTGTGCACAGGCCTAACGTCGTACATAACTCCCCCTCGCGAGCCACGTAGAAAACGTTGAATCTATGCAAGGATATGTGGTCTCAATATATAGGGGAAAACTTCGTCTGTCTGGCAGAATGCCGTGAGCGCACCTTTGGAACCCATTGCCCGTTGACCCACTTGCCGCGCTGGTAAGCGTTCCACACGGCGACCCCTTCCGCTGCCCCCCTCGCTCCTTCTTCCGTCAACCCTCCAGCGGCCCCTTTCCCGTTACCCTGCGTATCCCGGCCTAGTGCCTTCCCAGTAGTGGGTCCGCCGCCGGCGAGGCTTCCGTCTTCGGCTGTTCCACGAACGGCAACGTGGTCGACACCACCACCTGCACCCAAAACTGAAGCATCTCCTTGTCCCTGCCTGCTGCCTCCCGCTAATTGGAGTTGGTCCTGCGGCGCTTGTTGTAAGGGAGAGGGCCAGGCCGGAGTTGCCCCTCGCGCTTTGTTGTTGGTAAGACCCTCGGCGGGCATCGGACGAGACTCGCTTCCAGCGACGAGGTTGCTCCGCGAAGGTCGTTCAAGCTAAGTTGGGGATAGGAAGAGAGTATGAACGGAAGGGACGGGGTGCTTGATATACTGCTTGTAGTTTGTAGCATGGGGTTTCAGGCCGCATTGGCCATGTCTAGACACGCAGCTGGGACAAGGACGAGGAGGGCGGGGAGCGTAGAGCCGGTAGTTGTACAATCAAGATGCCCGCGGAAGCGCGTGGTTCGGCAACAATGCTGCGCGCTGAACTTCGACCTTGACCCACACGCGCTCTGAATGGGAACTTCCTGCAACATTTTCGCCAAGCCTATGCATATGACTATCAACTACTCTCTAACCCAAAATACTCTCGAGTTGGCGCTGAACTATAATACCGAGGTTCTTTCAACCCGGATTCCACGGTCGGAACAGCCAAAAATATTAATTAAGCGGTGACGACAATTCAGAACAGAGAATCAGAAAGACAAGTCAAAATTAGCTGCCGCGTGGCAGGAGCAACAACAGCAGACGGAAACGGAAGCCTTCGTATCTCACCCCCAGCTGAACCAGCACTGCCGCAAGGTCCTTCCCGTGCTGGCCCATGGTTTCGCGAACGATATGATCAAGCTTTTCCACCTGTCCGAACATCCATGGGGGTGAATAGGACAGCAGATGAGACAGAGGGCGAGGGGTGCGACGTATTTATCGGCGGAATCATGGTTGCACTCTCGTTCAGAACGTGCAGGGGCGTGCAGGTGCGCGGTATACTGCCGTTGGAGCAAACTGGTGTGCCATGAACAATGCCCGCGATGCGATGTGGATCGATCGCTTTGGTAGCCGCAGTCACTCCACGAAGCTCCAGCAGTATGCATTATTGACCTTCACGAGAAGCCGGAGGAGGCAACCATATTCTCCTTCGTTCCACGACCGCGAACAAAAAAGGATACACGTTCTGCATCAGCTTAGAGCGAGTCTCGCTTCTTCTCGGAGCGCTTACATCGCACTACAGTAGTTTGCGGCCGGTTCTAAGGTCACCCCAACTTTGGCGACATTCTCAAAAAGCAAAACAGAACGCCGGATGGAGTGTGTGATGTTTGATTTTAGGGCCCGGGAACTTGTGAAAGCGGGATATTGTGCCGTTTGTTCTAGTGAAAGATTTGCAATTCCGAAAGGATTCATCCCCGTGACTTCTCATGTACACCCAGCAGTTTGTTCATTTCTTCGTCATTTCATGCTGCCAGGCTACAATACTTCAAGCGACTCGGACACCGTGCACAACGTTCTGAGTACTTCATCCGGGACGGAACAACGCAGGTAAGAATTCCAGGAGAACTATTTTGAACTCCGTTGTTTCTTGTTCGAAATTCTAAAAATCACTCCATCCCTCTCGAAAGAATGTTCTGGAAACCTTCCCCTGGACAACCACTTCCACCCTACAGAATAGCTTGAGGAGCCTTCCAATGCGAAAGAGACTGTACGGCCATCGACAAGGCACAGTTTGGTCGAACTCTCGATGAGTAATCCCTTAGCCAGCACAGCTTCACAGTCTTCAGGAGGTAATGCTAGCAGGACTGTACGCATGGCAGAAGTTAGCTCTTAAATGTTGTTTTGCGAAAAGAGCAATTGCTAGAGATTCTTCTTACGTCGTTGCCTGCACCCCACAACCGCCGACACAGAAAAACGTGTTGAACGGGTGGTGGTGTTGAATTGGTGGTCGTGGCCCTCTTGTTTATCACGTGTGTCTTAGATTTTAATATGAGATATTGTAGGTGTTCTACGAGCGCACGACAAACCTATACGAGCGGCGAGTTTGAAAGGACGTTCTGGGCCATGGTCTATCTCGACTATACACGATACAATACCGACAGGGTGTACAGTCGACGTACTACATACACTTGCACAGCCTTTTGCATATTGTTCGGCGACGGATGGAAAAGGGGTTACAGCAATGTAGTTTGGGACACACGTGGCTCACTCACCGTGTCCTTGAGGTGACCCATATCGGCGGCCACCATCTCGAATGCGCGAGGATTCGACAAGGACAAGCCTTGCTCGTTGTATTGTGACACCCCGTTGTTGTTCAACGGGCCACCCCGCAAGCCACTAGACGGTATTGCGCCGCCACCGCCACTGACCATACTCGGTGTATCCGTAAACGTATCTCGGACTCCGCCAGATGCGCGCCGTCGTACACGGTTGTCGTCATTGATTCCCCTGCCGGCAAAGCTGCTGAGGCCATCTACCGTGAAACTTCCTCGTGGCGGATGGACGATGAGCGCAACAATCTGAATCGAACCTAAGACTACAACTAGCGCGAACATGGAGGTGACAAGTCGCTGCTGTCTAGTCGCTGGCGGGGTGATGGGTTCGTCTCCCCGGGCGTCCTTACGGTGGTGATGATTTCGTCGCCGGGGTACGCGGGAACCGCTGCGAGATGTGGAGCTGCCGCTCTCACAGGAGGTCGGTGTCGGGGAACTTCTTCCAATCTTCATCCTGGACAAACTTCCACTGCTTTTTAGCCCTTCTTCATTGCCACCGTGAGACCGTTTCTTCTGGAGGAACATACCGCTGCCAAAGCCGAAGTCGAGCTTCTTGAGCGGCGACAAGACCCCTGTATCGCGGCCAGTCCGCCTCAACGGGGAAGAGTCACCGCGCCCTTGTATCGAATTGCCGAGCCAGGCATCCCGATCTGATGGGAGATTGTTTTCTGTCAAGAGTACGGAAGGCTGAAAGGGGTAGGTCTGCGATCGGAGCCGGCCGTGTCCATCGTCGTTGGCCGAGCAATCCATCGCCGGATGGAAGGTACCAGCGTGGAGGGTCTGAGAAACCCAAAAGAGCAGCTGACGATAAACGTATTCAGCTCTGCGTGAAGGAAAGATAGCAGGGCGTATGCGTGGCGTGTGATATGTACTCCGTACATAATTTATATCATTATTCACATGATGCGTAACTACCGCGAGGAGAACCCTCAGTAGTGCCGGTTCGACAAAATGCGGCGCAATCAAAATGCGGTGGAATCAACCCAACTCCAGTACAGCGGTACTTCAACTCTTCACCTGTACAGTACAAGTAGCACACACACTGCTTGTGCAGGGACAGCAGGACATGACTGCTTGATGGTGCAGTACCCTCTAGCCGGTACTCGCAACTACGCCCAGTAAAACATCTTGCGCCCAGGCAAGGGTAGCATGGCCGAGGATACGCGCAGCAACGAGGGCAGCCGAACCTGAAAAAAAGCAGAATACACAACACGGAACAAACACGATGATTCAGAGCTTTGAGGACATCGATGAGGCTGTCGCAGAGTACTTGGAGCGCCGACGATTCGCTAACACCCTCGAGTGTTTTCGATCAGAGATACGGCATCGCACACTCCTAAGGTATGCTACTGACGACAGGATATCAGCTACGGGAGAGCATATGGGGCGGGCTGTTCCCCACTTCACGTTTTCGGTCATCGGATGTACAGCAGTAGTCGGTGGTCCTCAATAGCGGTAGGTATGTAGTGACAAGAGGTTTTGGTTACGCTATTGAGGGCAGTGCCGCTATTCCTAATAGGGATTGTACTGAGAAATACGTCTGTGCCAAGCGATTTCGGTGCCGCTGTAGAGGGCATTCCGCTATTGAGGGTACTGTTATTGAGGACCGCCGACTGCACATGGTTCCCGCATCTACGTAGGGCTTCCGCAGCTTTCGGGCATCAGTCATGTGCTGCTGAAGTCAACACGTTTCCTGTGAGATGAAAAAAAGAAAGTTGCACAGATACATATGCGTAAGGTTTCTTCAAAATTCACGCTTTGTGATACACATCACGAAGTACCAAGCGCGCCAATATCACAACAGCACAACAGCATGCATGTAGCATGGCAGCTTCAACATCCGCTTGCCACAGTGGCAATCAGTTTCTGTAGTCTCCAACATATTAGAGGGCAAAAATCGAAAAAATGCCTTCCGGTGTGCGGAGTCCCGACCTGAGTGACTACTTTAGTAAAAAGAGAGCATCATGGAGCAGTGGCACGCGCGTTGGCACGCCCAGACCTGTTGCTGGGGCCGTGAGGTCGAAAGCTGCAGGTTCGGCCCGAAAGTCCTCAAATCAAGGGTCGATAACCTTCACGATTCACTGCTGTTATCCGCGCCGTCACAGACTCCCCTGATGTGGTGGTCTCCAGCAGTAGCTCACATCACTAGCTGCATTGGACGACCCCCACCTTGGGGGATTGGGACGTTGACTGCATGTACAGCAGTGGATCGTGAACGGCTTGCCAACCTAGATAATCGGATTGTTCGGGTCTTTGGCTACGGCCGGCGCCAAATATGGAGGTTGTCGCTGTAAATAATTCCGGGTGCACCTCGTTGAGTCTGAGAGTCCTCTGAAGCGGTAACCATAAATCGAAACATCGACAAACGTTTGCCACCTTTGACCTGAAAAGAGACCGGCTTGGGAAGTCTGACGAGACGCTAGAAGGCTCTGAGGGGGGGCGAAGAAGAAGGAGCGGGTGTGGCGACGAAGGCCGTGATCGTGGTCACCAAACAACTTCCACCGGCAGTGTTGCTTTATTCAAAGCGTTCGATGATGGCGACTTGTCCGCTTTCCTGTCAGCTTGGGCGGTGAGAGCAGACACAGAAACCGTCCACGCCGTGATTCCGTAGCTATCCCGTAGCACGCACCAACCAAACATATTTTATTGGTAAATTCTGCACCAATAAATTCATTTCTCTTTCAAGTTTGTCCCCGTTTCCCGAACGAAACCTTTGAACTGGAAACCAGGCGTTCATTCCAAATATTTTGCGACGCGGGACGCCATCCTCCCTGGCGCGAGAACTCCGAGTGGCGGAGTTCTTGGCCTGCGTGCACTGTGCGGTGTTGCCGTTTCGAGCCACCGCTCTGGCGAAAGCGGCGGGGCCGAGGGAGGCAAGCGTGGCCTGTGCGAAGGTAATAGTGGTCTTGACCAACACAACGAGCCACTTGTTCGCTGTGTAAAACCCCGAATGTTTGTGAAGAAACGTACCGATACCGAGAGGCCAAGATGTGTCGCGTGCGGAAGAAGAGTGACTGACACCCGACCAGAGTCTTTGCGAACGTGTGTTGTGGGCACCAGAGGAAGTTTGAATAATCCATGGCACAAAAACAACCTGTTGTATTCAAGAGCGACGCACAACTGATTTTACCACTATGGCATGTAAAAGGAGGAGATCCCGATGTACTGTCCAAGATCAACAAATCCATGTCTTCCTGTTGTTTTCCTGCTGCCCCTTCGTCTCCGCCACAAACAACAGACGGGGGAAGAAGATTGACGCTTTCATCATAGTGATTGTTCTCGGTTGACAATGTTTTGGGGGGGTACTAGCAACACATATCCTAGCGCACCACCACCCCCAACGCACTATTTGCTGAGAGAGAGAGGGAACCTTAGCGCAGGAGCTTCTACTGGAGAGACTGAGGGCCCATTACGCCTGGCCTGGGGGTATTCACAGGTGTACACTCTCGACTTACAGCCTCGTGCCCCCCGGATGTTCAGTCTGTTTTGATTCAACGTGGCCGCCTATTGCTCCTTGTTCGGTCTGGATTCTCAGTCAATGTCATCGTTCAGGAGGTATCTCGACCGCGCGCAAGACGTTCCTCGTGTGCCCGACTTGTCGGGCTACTACGCCCTTCCCCACGTGCCCGACCCGTCCGTTCACCCGTCGTTCGAGGCTCTGTTCGAAGACACTTGGTCGGTGAGCAAGGGAAAATAGTCCCTGGTGCCAACCACAGGATAGAGAGGAACGATGGTGGTCGTGAGGCGTGGTGAGACAGATATCCTGCCACGTAAGACGAGCAAAGAGGGCGACTACGTCTAGGCTAACGCAAAATGCAACGTAAGGATAGGGTTATGGGGTTGGCAATGCTGCCGATTATTGCGTAGTGTGCTACTCCGGAAGAAGGAACGGCAGGTTGTGAGGTGCACGAAATGTCGTGCGTACGGTGGGAAACTTCGCTGGTGCTAGACTATCACGCTACCGACAGCGAGAACGTTGGCATGGACACGTACCATCTAAGAGCGGTGAATGAAATCGCAGCTTTTTCATGCTTACCACAAAGTGCGGTCGTTTGACGGATGTCCAGCTTCAGTTTTCATCATTGCCTCACTTGCACTCGCGCGAGGACATCCATCTGCGTAGTTGACGAGCTTCCCCATAGTGCCTGCCATCTTTAGCATAACAGCTCACGAAACGCGAGCTGTGGGGCGTCGACCCACACTGCGGCAGCTTTACCTCTACCCTCACACCTAAAGTGTGCTGTCTCGCGCTTGCTTCATAATTTCGCTCCCGCTCCTCGCTGACCGTCTATCGGAGCGCGCAGGCTAGTCTCAAAACGCGAATCGAGAATTTGATGGACGCGGTCAACCTCTGGCGCCGCTCGGACCCGCTGCTCGTGAGACTCCTACTTCGCCCGGTTGAGGTAAGGTCTGCCAACACGATACTAAACGTTGGCTGCTCTACTAAGATAAGAATCAGCTGACAGATATACTGGGTGACTCAACGAGGAAGGCACTGATATCCTTGTCCGGAAGTCCATGTCTTCCCCTCTGTGACTTTATTATTAGTTGAGATGGGCATCGATACGCATGACACCTGACCTCCCAAGTTCCTATTATTTTTCCCTCCACCTTCCCTGGTCCGGTGCGAACCCGGCGTGCTCCGTCCCGGCTTTGTAGGGATGCGAGGTCAATGGTCTAACGACTACGGCATGCACGACTATGAGTACCACCCCCCCCTTCCCTCTCGGGCGCGCTTTGAACGTTGCGAACGGTTCTCACCAAGGGTGCCACACACGCCGCAGAAAACGAACGCCGTCCCCGCATCCCGTCATGGGACGATTTCAGCACCACTGGCAACAATTTCTCCGATGCGCCGAGGGTACCAAGATCAAGGCCCCTCGACGGCAGCGGCAACGGGGGGTGCCCACCACGGATGGCGGGTGAGAGCAAACTAGCGCCCTCGCACAGCAACGCGGTGGTCGGAAGGCCCTCGTACGATAGACCATACGAAGTTGTTGCTCAAGAACACCAGAGCGAGCGGGAATCAAGCAAGAACAAGATTGGCAGTGGTGTTGGTTGTGGACAAGGCAGTGACGGCTTCGTCCTGGGAAGTCCTGAAGCACCAGGGGGGGTCCAGCAGCAACGGCAGCGGCAGCCGCTGCTAAGGTCCGACTCCGACAGGGCTATCTTGGGGCGCGTTGACTACGGCGCTGTCAAGCACGACCTATGGTACGGAGCGGAGGCCGAGGGGACTACTTGTGTTCTCTTGGCCTGTGTGCGAGACGTGTAGCTCACGAGGTTTGGCGAGGATCCTCCCAATAGATGCAGAGAGGCATGAGTCGGCATGGCACTGACGACGATTATGCTGATGGCAGCACTGCTGGACATGCATTTGTAGGACGCTCGACATTTGTGGCCTCTCTCCGGCATACCATCAGCAGCGTAAGCAACCCTAGTCCTTTTCAACGCACAAACGGGTGCGTGTTGCAGGAGACTAGCCGAGGAGGTTTACGAGGGGAAGGTCGACCTACGTCGTAATCCAGGGGTGTCATCTGCAAGCGGTGTTAACGAGGATGTCGCCACAGCCGCCATCAACGCAGCGTTGCTTTTGCAGGTGAGGAAGATCTCGCAAAAAACGAACCCTCCGAGCGAGTGAATTTCTACCGGCAATGCCCACGTCAACACCAGGACGCTTGAAAGGGATGGCTGAAAAAAAACATGGTGTCGATGTAATGCACCCTCTGGTGCCACGCGCTCGGGCATATTGCGTGTTTTGACGCCTCCTCGTGAACCTTGCCGGCGTTCCGGTACACGCTAGACAACCTTGTTGGCGATAAAGCTGCCACATCATGCTCATCAGCGATGACCACAAACACTGTCAGCGAAGGCTGCGAGACAAACTGAAAATAGCATGTGAGAAACGATTCTTCCCCCTCTGTACTCGCTCTGACCTCGGCAGACCGTTCGTTGGCGTTTCTCTCGCGCTCCGCCCGGAAAGAGTCGACGTGGGGTACTGTATCACATCATCCGGAACGACATCTTCGACATACGCTCGACGGAAGCGGGCGGCAAAGGTATGGGAAGAAGCAGACATGCCGTCCGGATGCGGAGGAAATGCAGCACTTGAAACAGACAGGCACGTCAGTTTGAAATTAGTGGGTGCGAGCCTGTCAAACTGTACACAGGAGGACCACGGGTGGCAGCGCTGTGTGCTGTGTCTACTCCGTTCAAGCTAGCGACGCCACACTCATTGAGGTTTCGACGAAAGGAACTAAAGTCTGTGTAGAAACGAAGCGGGGATCGAGGCGTACTGGTGCTAGGCAGATGAGAGAACCCTTGCCTATTCTCACGGATACTGAAGCAAGCGTCTTCGATAACAAAGAAAAACGCATTGTTCGGTTGCCACACGCTCAACGGTTGCACGCTGGTCGTGTCGGACTGGTTTCGCTCGCGGGCAGGCGGCGGGGGTAGAGGCGTCTCGACACTCCTCGGGGTCCTTCTTCGTCTCGGAGTTCGCCCATCGCCGCCATCCCTGCCGTCCGCCGAGAGCCACGAAGCCAAGCAACAGCCGTCACACGAACCGAAGCACACAGCTCAAGCGCCGGAGGAGGCAGGAAACACGGAAGGCAAGCTTTGGGTGGTCGGGTGGCTATTATATAGTAGAACGGGGGGGGTACTTCCAGAGACAAGGCGCCTCTCACCCTCCAACGCACCTCGGAAAAGGGGCAGTCGGACGATGGGCAAGGAAGAAAAGAAGCAAGCATCTTGATGTTTGTCAGGGTCTCGGCAACAGACTTGTTGGAAATGAAACGAATAGATGCTTGCCGATGAGATGGGGGGGATGAGGATAGCTTCCCCCAATATTCAGAACGATGCTGTTCAGTCTCGGATTGTGCCCGATAGTCAAAAACACCTTCCGAAGTAATTTTACACGGGTTCGAATGTTTGGTGGTACAAGTTGGAAATCGTCTATGTACCGAGTATCTTCAGGAAACCGCATCAGACACAACCAAACTTCACATGTGAACGTTATCATCAACATTTCTAAGCCATGCGTTCTCAATGGTGGAACAGGCTCAAATGGTGTCAGAGTTCCCGACGAAAACAGTAGACATATGGCAATCCGTTTTCGGCCCGAACCATGGCGGTTTCGGTATAATTCAAGGAGAAGCGGTGCAAGGTCACTGGAAAGAAGGGGGGTGCAGTGAGACGGGAGGGGATAGGACACGGTGAAAGGATGGGAAGAATTGACGCAAACCCCAAGCGGTGGAAAGAACCTGTATCGAGGACTGCGACATGCTGCCTGACAAATACAAAACTTCGAATGAGAAAGTTGTGCATTTCATTTAGAAAGGGGAAAATCTGCGTTGAGTTTGGTTGGGGTGTCCCGAACGCATTCACGTTTTCTATTGACAATTCTAACGGATTGCACGGTCTATTTCTTCGCTCGCCATCACTGCCACAATAGATGGCGCGAAGCGGGTGTCGTCGGGAACAAAGGAAGAAAACCCGAGGTGGGAAGAGTTCGGCGGGGACCCCGGACGACTGGTGGCCGACTACACGGTCAGGTTGCTGAGCGCGCTCGTTTCCATGAGCAAAGCTCGTTCCTACATGCTGGGCGAGGTGAGGAACGAAGAACTGTCATCCTCAGATTTGTCGCGCGGCCATCTATCTCCATGCGCAACCAACGCACTCCTTGTTGTTTTTCAGAGAGGCGCAAGACCACAAGAAGCACTTGAAACGTCTCTCCCGTGTGTGTTGATGCGACTTCTTTTGAGCGCGACCTTACTGCAACATGTATTCCCCGCAAGTTCGACATGATGAACACAGCAGTGTAAGAAAGTTGTTCAGTTGTTACCTTGGCTCCTTCGCTGTCACTCTCTGTAGGTAAACGGTAGGGGCCAAAGAGTACCGGGCGGGGTCGGGAGATGGGACGGAAAGCGAACATCTCACATGTGGCCACACGCCGTGGACGAAAAGCTGCGGAAGGTGCTGCCCCCTGTAAGATTCTGAAAAGGGACCCTCTTGCTCATGCCGTCAGAAGTGTGAGGAGACGATCGAAATCCTGGCTGAATTGCTGAGTGGAGAGAACTACCGGGAAACGAGCCTAGCCAAACGACTGCTCGGGGTCTTGGAGCGGCTGTCCAGGCGACGGTCCGCGCAGGAGGCCATCGCCTCCTCGAGCTTCGTCGATTGGGCCGCAAAGGTGAAAGAAAGGTAGCTGCGCGGCAGGGAAGTGTCGCCAGCGCGGCTTCCCGGGCGGCAATGATGTGCAACGATACAAGTCCTGGTCTATTCCCAGTAGCTTGTAGAGATTTCCGTTGCGATTTATCTACTCTCATACCCCGATGACTGCTTCCGTGCAGTCCTCTCTTTCTGTCCTCTTTTTCTCGGCCCTGCGTCTGTGCGGTGGGCCTGTCCAACAACAGCTCCTGCACATTGGTGCAGCAAGCAGCCAGATTCCTTGTTTACCGATGCACAATTGGGTGTTCCGTTACCGCTTTCGTGTACCTGCCTGCATCCATCCCCAGATGCTATTGTCGTGTTCCTCTCAAGGACCGGGGGCCCGAGACCCCTGTCCCCTGTTCGTGCTGCGCGTGACTGGGATCCTTGGGAATACTTCTGGGAGCGTTTCGGGAAGGACCGCGGCGTTGGCGGCAAGTCCCGATTTGCTTAGGTCTTTCGGGAACTTACTCGAGCACGACGACGCCCAAGGTGATTCCGGAGGAATTCTCGCGCCCACCACCCACGCCCCGCAGTCGAAAAATCCAACTGAAACTCGCGACGTTTTATTTTGTTCATTTTGGAGTTGGAGTCAGATCGACGTTGACTTGTCTGCCCGGAGGTTGAGTCCGTGCGGCAAAAGGATCTCGAGCGAGGTGACACGTTTGAGCATCTCTAACCGACGACGTAGCAGAGCGACAGGACCTTCCCGACATGACAGCCTTGCAGACAAACCTGCTCCAGTCTGAATTCCGGCGAATGGTACGAAACGAAGCGCATGCGATTATTGCCGCTACCCCTCCGACCACAGCAACCACCATTGGATACCATCGATTTTTTCTTTGATTATTTATTTTTTCGATGTGTGCGTCGCTCGTGACTTCAGACAGGAGAATGGCGAACAACAACCACCTTCATCCGAACTGCTCTTTCCCGATACTGTACCCTTTTTTATTCTTGGTCGACAAACCTTCGAAATGTTTATCTTAGTGCGAACGAGTGCGGTCCGCGGCCTCAAGCTGCTGCTAGGGGCCCGCGAGGGGAGGGAGAGAGCCCTTGAAATGGGCATGGACGCTCTCTTGCAAAACCTTGGATCGTGCGAAGGGAGCGACAATAATGATTCCGCCTTTGAACACAACATTCAGGTGAAACGCGAACAAGTTATCAACACCGTGGGAGGCGGAGGGATTTTATGGGCCGTTTGAGAAAGGACTTGGTAGATGGTTTCACAGTTGGAAGGCCTGCCTGAAAGCCCTCCGAAAGCGACGGACAAAGATAAAGACTAACCGATTCACAAGGTCGTCGCAACGTACACAAGAACCAGAAACGGTATCCATGCAGAGGTGACTGTTACTGTTCGTTGTACCTAGCAGGTAGACCCGAGTTGCGAGACCGCGTCGCCACGCCGTTCTAGAACTGAAACATTTTCAACCGCACACGCTCCCCGTTCCCTTCATCTTGGTGAACTCGCACGGAAAGTCGCTGCTCGACCTGATGGGTGACACGCTTGACCCCGACGCGGAAGAAGGAGAAGACGGTCGTCGCCAGTTGTCTGAGTCGGGCGGTGAGGACAGAGAGGGAAAAGACCGAGCACCATACGTCGACGTCGAGACAATAATTGTGACATGTGGTGGTCGGCAGGCGTTCCATGATCAATTCGACGAGAGCACAGGCATCAGATGTTCACCGCACCACCACGAGCTCTGGCGCGTATGTATGCATAGATAACCGTTGAGAATCGACAGGCGGGGCAACGTACATATCGACTGGCCGACGCGTGAAAATAAGACTCTTTTGTTGAAGCAGGCGGAGGGCAAGAGGATGCGGGGGACTCCGACTTCCTGTCCGACGAAGAGTCCGGAGAGGCACCCGTCGTGTCCCACTACGTGCAGGTCACGGTGAGAGAGAGAGAGAGAGAGAGAGCAGACCACCAGTGAAACGTGACCAGCTTTTTTTTTTACCGGCGTCTAACAGGCCGAACAGACTTGAGTTCGAGAGGAGAAGAAATTTCAAGGTTTCATGCGCTGTGCGTACGCCAACCGAATCTCTGTTGACTATACGTACGTATAGACTAGGCGTGATGGTTGATCCGAAATTCTGACACTTGAACTCCAAAGGGTGGCCTACCGCGAGGGGCAGGCCACCAATGTGAGGAGAAACCGTTGAGAGACACGGCCCTGACCGACGTCAAATCTAAATTACTGTCCGGTAGGAAATCGGTGCTGCATAATTGGCGCAATGAGTACAAGGGGTAACGAGGACAGCGATTGATACTTTGCTTTGAGACGCTCGTGTGTTTGCGGCGGAGTCTGCGTGAGTGACTACACACATCAAGGTAGCACACGATGACGAGTCCAGCGCGGCGTCCTCCAGCCTTTGCACTTGTGCGAGAAGTGTCACTGACTGGTAGCGCTAAGTTCACCTCTTGTTCTTCATCAGCGTACATAAGTTGGTCGGTTAAGATGCTGCCATTCGCAAAGGAATCACCGAGGAAATACGGATTCGGGTCTTGTCCTTCGGTTCACGCTAGCTTGCCTTGTCACGTCGTCATCACCAGAATGCACCGTGTGGAGAGAAACTCCTTCGGGAGCGCTACCGGCTCTCTACGGCGGAGGCGAAAGAGGAAGCCATCGCCTGCTCTTCGGGCGGCGCGCCATGGGGAGGGGAAGAGGAGGAGCTCGTTTGCGGCGGGATTAGAACGAAAGCTCCCGCACGGTGAGGAATTCAACTCAGAAAAATCACCTTGTTGTACGAACATGCTGGCAGGATGGACACCTAGCTTTTGAATTGACGGGTTTTTTTGTTTTGTCGTTTATTTGTTTATTTGCATGTTTGCATGCCGAAACGCGCATATCGACATTACACGCGTGCTATCAGGTGCCCTGGTGCCGGAGAGTCGAAAGGGGCCAACAATCACACACCGAGATTGCCGACGCCCGAAGCGGGCACGGCGACGCTCATTCGCGGGGAGGAAAAAGTGAGTCCATGCAGCAAGTGCTTCAAAAATACCCTCCCCTTGTAGAAGTACAAGTAATACTTTCCGAAGTACATGCATGTTGCACGGTATCAAGTACCGGCCTTTTTTCTCTCGTTTGGAACTTGTTGGCACTGTGTGCACCATGCTTTCATTCTCGCGAGCTCGATAAGCATGTTGCGAAGGATATCGTTGATAGAGACCAGACAGAGCGACTCACTTACAGATGAACACGTCTGACCAACAACATGCAGGTGTACGATAGGCGGCGGCCAGGTCTCCCCGACGAAATGCAGAGCAGGCCAAGGATTCCCCGTACACCGGCGGGATCCATCTCGGTCTCAGATCCTTTGTAGCGTGGCCGTCGCAGATGCCAAAGAGGGATGGTAGAAGCTCTGTATTCCCTCGCACAAAAAAACACTCGTTCGCGAACGAGGGATTGGCAAGGCTAGTTCGCGAGAGTGAGGTCGCCAAGGTGCTACTGAGCACTTCGACTGGCAGGCTCGTTCGCGAGCATGGGGTCGCCAAGGCGCTACAGAACACTTCGACTGGTAGGGTCGAGGAACGTACGAGATAGAGAGGCAGTCACGTTGGATAAGGCCGATATCACGAAGGTTTTTTGGTCAGCCGGTTAGCGCGGTCGATGCTAAAATATATTTTCACGTTTTGGCACATGCTGTTGCGGGCAAGCGGCGGAGACAGAGGAGTAGTAGCGTGGCCGTTTTGCGGAAGCCAAACGGGTTTGCTAGAAGCTCTATCTTCCTTCGCAGGACACACACACGTGCTTGCCACACGTACCGTAGCAAGGTAAAAATCAGGTAGGTGAGCACAAAAAAACATTAATACTAGAAGTAATAGCGTAAGGGTGTCACAGCCGTTGATTATTGAAGCAGAGGTCAATGTGTACCTTTTTTCCTCATCTCTTTCCCACAACTCAAGAAACACCTTACGACTTACCACGGAATGTGCATCCCCGCAACTAAAAACAAGACAACGACGAAGGAAAACGGCTGCTGCCCATATACGAACTACGTGTATAGTCTATTTAGTCAGTGTTGAGTTCTCGACCCACATCGACACCATCACCGTTTGGAAAAAAGGGGGGCACGTTTTCGTAACGTCACACGTCACGTCAGGCTTCATCGGCGATCGCGGTCTCCATGTAGACTATATGTTTACTAGGTTTGAGGTCCGCTGCGCGTGTAAACGGCCATACCATGGTATGCATCGGCCGTTTACATCCGCCTACACGTGCCTGTCGCGGAGCTGCTCTCTCGGACCTACCCATTGACGTTCCCCCCCGTGCGTTTTGATCTGTGGGGTGCTTCTGCCTTCTTTGGCCAGGTGCAATCCAACCAAGCAGCAAAAGAACGAAAGACGAAAGACCTATACATCCTCTTTTGATCGACCGAGTCGATCGAAAGGGAACACACAAACACACACATGATTGTTGGTTTGTGTATTTATTTGAGGGAATGAGGGGATGAGAAGCAATGTTGGACACGAACTCTTAGAGGAGTGTGGTGTGTGTATATCCTTTGGGTCTCGTTCATTCGATGAATGTATGCATACGGACGCCTAATATTTGGGCGATATAACCTGCTCGTCGTGCGTGTGGTATGCTACATATGTACAGCAGCAAGTAGGTTCTGGGTCTGAGCAGAGATCGGGAACTATAACATATCTATATCTTCCCATCAAGCAGATGCTAGGTGTGGAGGTCTGTTGCCGAGCGAGAGCACAGCAGTACTGCTGCTGTGGTACAACGACAACGGCCAACAATGTCGTGCACATATATATTCACAACAATCAACGAGTTTGAACAGACCGCGTCGCTACCCCCGCACCTTCTTTTTTCGTATTTTCGGGCGAGAGGGGGGGGTACGCACCAAACCAACCATGGCACACTCACACAGCTCAATCAGCCGGCTAGCAAGCAAGCAGTCACAGCAGTGCTGTCGACTACGGCACACACCTAGAACATGCGGAAATAAACGGGAAAACAAGAAATTGCGCGAGGCAGAGAGGGAAACAGGACGCCCGATCATTTCTATCGGCGTGCCCATTGCAGCACAGGAACAACTAACTGCAGCAGTCAGGTCATCGATCGCTCTGCTGGTTGGAGGGAGCTGGGAGGGGTACATACAGAGCGAGTCAGCACTTGCTCGCGAGTGGATTCCGGGAAACCAGGATATACGTACGCTCCCTTCGTTTTGCTGATTGCTCACTCCTTTCACGCAGAAGCCGCCCTCGAGCTCGGACGACCCAAGATCCGAGCAGCGCGGAAGAGTGCCCCTTCGCGGTGGAGTGTCCGGGGGACGGGGCTTGAAGGTGAGGAGCCGTAGGGATTGGAAATCACATGCATACCATGTTTGACACAAAATGTCTCGGCGACCAATGTGCTGCAAGCAATCCTGATCTTTGAGTTTTGCACAGGCCTCTCTGCTGACTTGCTGGCTTTGTGCGTGTGCTGAGAGGTGTCTTGGTAAATTGGGGCTTGCCTTGATTGATAACCCAGCGGGTAGCTATCTATGACGCCAGCTGTCGCCGATGATGCCGTGCTACAAGAAGTGCTTCATGTGTCAACAAAAGCATGTTGTGAAGTTTTTTTGGACCAGCAGATTTGACTGTGTGCCAGCGTACCCACACCACAGGTCGTATTGTGTTCGAATATACATCTCGCCCGCTCGCTCGCTCTCGATTACATCGCTCCTTCTACTGGTCAGCACTGCTGCTGTTCACGGCCATTCAGAGCTGCCAAGCTTCGCCTGTACTTCCGCAAACTTCCGCAAACTGCGGCAGCAGCAGCAGCAGCAACAGCAGCGTTTGTCGCACCAACGATTTTACATACATATGCAACACACCTGGGAATTCATCAATTTGTTCCTGCAGATGTTGCGTCCGTAATTCGACTCTTGAAATGGCGCCAGTTTGTAAGTCAGCGTCTCTAGGGCTGGGCGGCTGTCGTGCGCCGTCACGCGGTGTCACATTTTCAATCGCGCTCATCATTGGTTCTTGTAGCTGTTGAAAGTAGAAGACGGCTACTGCTGCTGCCACAGCAACAGCAGCAAATGAATGTTAGTGCGCGCTCCATCCATTCCAGGCAAACTGTTGTCTATTATTGCTGTCAGCACAAAGTGGCGGAAGCATCATGATCCTCTTTGAAATCCACTTCGTTTTACAGGTCGCGTTGCGGTTACTTTGAACACCACGAATACATTTTTTCTGAGGTGTCGTATTTATGATTATCTTTTTTATGCGATACTACTCTGTGAAGGTGGAAACGGCGGTGAAACCGCGGTGAAAAATATCCGTGGTGCATGCATCATGCGCTCGCTCCCTTCATCCATCCGCACAGCCATATAGACACTTGCAGAGTATATACATCTAGGACGCACAGACCTCCTCGGCACACAGCAGTCCGTGTGGTGAGGACCAACGGCCCGTTCAGAGGCCAATAAGAAAACAGAACGCCGTTCAGGCCTGGAGACTGAGGAGGTCAAAGAGCGCTCCGGCAAGATATGCACACCAATATTCCTTGGCTCTTTCGTCGTACGTAGCCTGCGTGCAGATGAAGCGCAGACACCTTGGGTTGTGTCCACATGTTGTACGTTGATATATACTCTGCCTCAGTTTCCTCCATCTTTATGCACACATATATGGGATAGATGAAAAAAACAGGGGTATGGTAAAGCCTATCCTTGGGTTCACCCTGTGGGCCCAGATGATGGAGAGACGATGCTGGTGATGATGTGATGACAATGCACTATGTATTTATGGTGCCTTCTGCTTCGGCACTCGAAGAGACCTTCGCCCTTTGGTTGGGACACTTTCCGGAACATGAAGGGGCCGGTGTCGCATATTTGGCGAAGAAGTAAAAAATACCTCGTAAGATAGATGCGGTGGCAAAAACATGGTTGTGTGTGCAAGGAAGGCTAGTGTACCTTCCCTCACTTTACAATGGGTCGCAAACAAGCGCCTTGGATCGCACCCGAGATAAATGCAAAACTGATGGGACACTAGACACGCACGTTATTCTCCGTGATCCAGCATTCATTCGCAAGGGCACAGCAGCAGTGGAGTATTATCTACTGCTGTACAACGACATTCCTCATCTCATCACCCGATCGATGCATACATATATCGCTGAATCCGACCCCTTCGGTCTTGACGGACGGTATGCGTACATACATGTGATACGAACCTTGCTTGCTGGGCTTCCAGCCATCAGCTTGCTGCAGAGTTTTTAAAGATCTTCCACCGAGATCGAAAATGGGAGAATTTATCCAAAAGCATGTAGTCTACATACCCGCCGAGCGCTTGATTAACAAAAAAAAAAAAACTGAAACGTCGTCGGTGCCCATCCATGTGGTTTGAAATTTGTGCAACCTTGGAGTGAGTGCGTAGTCTTGTCTCTGGAATTCAAGAGAAGGAAGAAGAAAACGACAACTTCAACCGGGGGACGAAGGGTTTCAAGAAAGGGGAGCTTGATAGACGGACTGCGGTTGCGAACCGAAGATTTCAAGTGCGAATCTTGCGTCTGGCTATGCCTTACGCCTGGTGTTGTCGCAAGATGCACAGCAGGATAAGATGATAAGATCCCGTTACCGCTATCGTTCGGTACAGAACCCCTCATCTTAGAATACTTTTGTTCGGAGGGGGCTCGGGTATTGTACACTTTCATTTTTGGAAGAATTAATTAAGGAAAACACCCCCAACATTCCGGGCTTCTTCGCAAGAAAGCTCCCTCGTCGAAATCTGCTTCCCTTTCGCAGGGGGAATATATCCGCAATACAACCAGGTAAAGGTGTGTACCACGCGCGCGCGTGTTTCTGTTCCCCGCTTTCGCCGACGACGTGCTTTGCATCCAATCACATGCTACGAAGGGCACGATCATGGAGGCTACTTCGGCAACACCAGCGCCTACACCCGATGCGGCGGCAGCGATCGACGCGACAGACCAGGCTCCGGCATCATCGTCGGGTGGGGGCGGCGGCGGCAACGACGGGCATTGGGTCCTCGCGCTGGGGCTGGGAGCGGTCGTGGGTCTCCTCGTGCTGGGTGAGTTTGATTGATTGATTGGTGGTGTCCTCTTTTCCTTGTGGCGAAACGATCGTCGTGTACAGCAGTAGCTGGTTTGCCTTCTGAAGACCCCCTTCTGCACGTGTTTCGTAGCCGGTCTGCCTTAGAAAACTCTCTGTGCAGCGACGGACAAACTCAGGGAATGGGGGTTGTCATTCAATGTGGCTGAACAAACGAACCAAGATGCTTCCGATGCCGAAAAGGATAATGGTGGTTTCTGGAAAAGATCTCGTCGTCGAGAGACAGAAAGAGAGAGCTGTATTTCCTTGCGCGTGTCGTCGGTCGGTTTTTGTTGTATGACACCTTCTCTGATTGCGGACCAATCAATCGATCTTTCAAACATCGATCCCACACCTACATTACCCGCCCCGTTCGCCGGGCAACCTTTCGGCAGTTCATGTTTCTCCCTTGGCCGTGTTGGTGCTGTCGTTGTCGCCGCTGTTGTTGGTGGCGGTGTGGGCGCCGTGCAGTGGACGTTGTTGGTGTTTGCGTTGTGTTGCGGGTGATGGTGTTGTCGTCGTTGCGCTCGGCTGTTGCCGTCGCTCATGTTTATAGAAAGTAAACATAACCTCACAGAAAAGACTACCCGTTCGAGATATAACCTCAGTCGAAAGGGATGTGATCAAGTCTTTTCAGTAAGTGGATTGAAACCGACTGGAGCTCATGTTGTTGCTGCTGCTGCTGCTTTTTCTTTTTTTCGTCCCGTCTAAGGCGCGTGCTGGTGCTGCTGCTACGCCCGGTACCGGCGCAAGACAAGAGAGAAGAGCAAAAAGAGGGGTGAGTGAGGGTCGAACGGGTGTTGGGCTGCCTAGAATGATTCCGCGCTGGCTCGTCCCTGGCCTAACTGGCTACTCCGGGGTAGTTTCGGTGTTGGCTTTTTGAACGAGTGGGGTGAGCACTTCGGCCACAGCGTGTCATGTTATTTCACGGCTTACTTTGCCAACCGTCAATGTGCATGCATGGGTATTTTGTTTTCGAGACCCTGCCGTGTAGGCCGTGTGCGCTCAAAATATCTTGTTCGTCACCTTTTGATGAATGAAAAGAAGGATTTTGTAGCATGTACGCCATGCCGGGTGTGCGTGTGTGTCTCTCTCTCTCTTGCGCGTTTAACGGCGTCGACGGCGCTTCATGTACCCGGCAGGAAAAATCCTTACACCTTGCTCTCATCTCTCTCTCTCTCTCTCTCTCTCTCTCTCTCTCTCTCTCTCTCTCTTGCGCCCCCCGCGCCCACCTGCCATGCAACCTCAGCGTCCCTAGCAGAAGCAAGGGCAGAATCTACGATGACGATAGCGGCAGTTGTAGACGAAGAGGCGACGCCGGTGTCCGCACACCCGCCCAACAGGCCATCGTCATCGGGGGGGGGGGAGGAAGACGATCTTCCCCCGGCGGCGGTCCCGCCTGCCGAGCATGACGGTGAGGGAACAGTGAGAGAGGGAACAGGATGCCGGTGTTACCTAAAGCGGTGGGAGGTTTTTTGGGGGACCCCTGGGAGGGTGGGGGGGGGGGGGGGGGGGAGTGGCAAAAAGACAGAGACACGCAGGAGAGCTGATCGCCAACAAGCACGTTCTGTGTTCACACGAGGCAGTCTGCACACAGCAAGCAGCGTGGGCAGCGGTAGAACTATCCGCCCCCTAAAAGTGCTCGTTTAGTCCTCTACCATGCTGAATACCCAGCACCACGCCCTTTCCCTTTTCCTGGCTGTTGTTTCCACTAGCCTTCTCTCTCTCTCTCTCTCTCGCGCGCGCGCTCGCTTGTTCTCCTGGAGGTGCCGCTTGCCGTTGGTGGGGTTGCCGTCGCTTGCCCTCTTGTGATCCGCCCTGTAGACGCTATATCTATAGCCCGGTCGACGTGATGCGTTTCCCGTGAGTCCAGTTCTACTCGTAGCCCCTTTTCGTCACGGAAAGCAGAAGCCCTGTCGCCGCCGTCCCCTGATCAATCGCAGGTGCACCGCCGGCGACAGCGGTCGACGGAAACGAAGTACGCTCCGTCTTCGACATCGAGAGCGGCAGGGTGGTGGTCTCCGCTGCTGCTGCCGCCGCCCCCGCTTCGTCATCCTCGGTCCCGGCCACCTTCACGCCAGCGGCAGCCGCCGCCGGCGGTGGCGGCGGGACATCGGCGAGCGGGGGCGTGGTGGCGCCGTCGTCTTTCCCTACGGCAGCGGGCGCCTCCTCCTCCTCCTCCGTCCTCTCTTCGGCCGCGGTTCTTGCCCTCGCGGGGCCGGAGAACTACGAGCAGTTCCCGCAGCCGTTCTCGTGCCTCGACGTGCCGGTCCGGCCGTACGAGAGGTCGGCCTCCCGGTCGAGCGCCGGCGCCGGCGCCGGCGGCAGTGGCAGCGGTTTTGGCGATACGGAGGCCGGCGGTGGCCTCGAGCGGCAGGCCGACGGGGGGTTCATGTCGAACGGAGGAGGGCAAGAGGGGGAGGAGTTCGGGGGCGGGAGGGAGGAGGGGTGGGTGAGGCCCGAGATCGATGTGGCGGATCTGGTGATGGACAACAACGAGTTCTACACTCCGCACGGCAAAAGCGGCGGCGGCAGCGGTGACTACAACAACGACAACCACAACTATTGTAGTTACGATGACGACAGCAGCACCTACAGCTCGCACACCATCAGCACCAACAAGGCCCTGAGGGACGCCGTCGTTATCGTGGCCGTGGCCTCCGCGGAGATGAAAGCGCTTCAGAGGAAGAATTCCTGCAGCGGGGGCGGCGGCGGCGGCGGCGGCGGCGGCGGCAGCAACCGTTCCGACTTCTGCCGCCGGCCCCGCTTCGATACCGCTGCCGACGAGGGCAGCGTCGCTCGCGGCGGGCTCACCCCCGCCGCGGACGTCTACGACAACGACCACCCGAGCTTACCACGAAAAGACGGCAGGCTGGAGGCGGCTGCGAAGGCCGGGGGCGCGGCGGCGGCAGCAGCATCATCATCATCGACGGGACTGTCGGCGGGACTGTTCCGCGATGAGACCCCCACACCACCTCCAGGGGGAGGCGTCACTACCCCTGGAAAGGACAGCGCGGGTGTGTGGAGACCAAGCGCAGGCAACAACCCCGCAAACTTTTGGCACAACGGCGCGGCGGGGGGCGGACTTAGCGCCGGTCCGCAAGCGGCGGCCGTGGCTCCCGTCGCCTCCACCCCCGTGCCGCCGACGCCGATGTCGCTGCCCGGGCTCCTGTCCATGTCGTTCGACAACAACATGATGGTGGAGGAGGGGCTCAGGCAGTCGCAGCCGAGGCTGTCGCCGCCCTCGGTGCTCGAGCGCTCGCAGGAGAGGCGGGCGTCGGAGCAGCACAAGGCGTGGCAGCAGCAGCAGCAGCAGCGCCTGCGGCGGCTGCGCAGCGGAAGCGTGGGCAGCAGCGGGGTGAGCACCATCACGAGCGGGAGCAGCAGCGGAAGCCACGACTTCGACGACTGCTTGTACGATGACGGCGCCAACGACGACCGAGTCAGCCGGCACCAGCAGCGAATCGCGGCGAGGGAGGAGCGCGGCGCCGGCCATTGCACCCTCCGCCCTTTCCTCTCGTACGCCAGCATCATGAGCAGCTGCGGCGGCGGCAGCAGCAGCGGCGAGCTTGCCCGCGAGGACTCGCCAACGCTGCCGCCTGCGCTGAACAACGGCAATCGAGACGACGTTGCCACGGCGCCGCCGACGGAAGGAGCAAACAACGGCGGCGGCGGCGGCGGCGGCAGTTCTGGTGGTGCCACCGGCAAAGACGAGGCGGAGACACCACCACCGTTGCAGGCGGATAACTTCGACACCGGCCGGCTGACCGATACGGTCGGGTGGGAAGGCTCGCCGAAGAGCCGCGGAGGAGTCGGCGACGGCGTTAGCGGCAAGGCCAGGGTCGTGGACCGGGCAAACTTCGACACGGCGCCCTTCTTCGCGTGTGGGGACGGCAAGGCGTCAACGACGGTGTCCAGACCGGGCGGGGCTGGGGCTCGTGGCGGGGCTGGCATGACCGGCGCCCCCACGGGGCTCTTCGACTCGACCAAGAAGTGGTTCGACAGCGTGGGCAAGTGCGTTGTGGAGGCAGGGGGCCAGCGAGAAGTAGTAGGGGTGGTGGACAACGGCAGCAACGCCCAACTCGGATCGCCGCTCGAGGGTACAGAGTGAGGGGGGGGTGGGTTGGTAAGCAACAACGAGTTTGGTGTTTTTTGATGCGCCCCACGGCATGGAACGCGGGTCCCGTCCTCTTTTCTAACCGTGCTCACTGCTGTCGGTCGGTGGCTTCACGCCACGAGAGGCGTCCGTTCGATCCGGCGGGTGTCTCAAACCGAAGCCGGCCACCGTAGCCGTGGTGTCCGATGAGAAAATCGACACCCGTCAACGCTGGCGTGTGTTTTTTTCGCGTGGGGCGTGTACACGTCGCGGAAACCGGACGTGATTATCCCGCGCCCTATCGTGCGGTATTTTTGTTTGCGAAATCATCAACTTCTATTTGGTTGTGTTGGAGGTCTACATCATACAACATTGTAGGCGTCTCATTTGCGGGTTCGAAGTCCCGTCACAGGGGAACAGAAAAGAGACTTGGTAGTTAATCGATTGTGAGTGTCGCCGATTAAGTTGTAGTATAGATTCAAGCGTAATGTGTGTGTGATTGGTTTTTTTCCGCGTGTAGTGCCGTTTCGTAAGGCAGCAGACTTCGTTGTTTCGGTAGTGTCGTTGTCGTCGTTGTTGTTGTTGTTGTTGTTGTTGTCGACTGGCTTGTGTTCATGTCTTATAGTGGCGTGTAGCTTGTGTTCTCACCCTTTCCCGTTAGTGTCGTAGAAGGGATGAGGCATGTCCCCCGGTTGTGGGTTTGTTAGTCTGTGAGTTTTTTTCGCGCTTTGTTTTGATGTGGCGGCAGCATGAGATTTAGGCGTCCATCAATTCTGTGCTTGGTCTGTTTGCGTGTCCCCGTCTGCAGGGACAGCGGTAGTCATGGCGGGACGTAGCGGCAAACGTCAGGGTCAGCGTTTGTTGTAGCAGACGCGACTACGGTTACACGTCTCTTGATGTTTATGTTCAGGTGTCGCTCATGATGTACCCTAGTTCTCCCGAATATTTTCGTTGCCGCTGTGCGGACGTTTTTGTTTTTTCACCGATTTGATTGCGGCGGCAAGAGCTTCTCCTACTGCCTCTACGCCGACTCGGGGGGGTGCTCGGAGCTAATCTGTCTCAGACTCTTTTCTATGATAGAGATGGTTTCGTTGTGTCATATTAAGAAAAATAAAAAAAAGAAATGGGGCTAATTTGTTCGAAGAACAAGCCCACACTTTTCAATGCTCGGCGGCCCATGTCCTCGCGCCTAGACCGTGTTTTTTGCGGTGATTCTTTTGGGGTTTTGGAGAGATTGCGGCCGTACTCCAAACACGAAAAGAGCAACACAGCACCGCTCTGTCTGTTGCTTCGTATCCCTCTAGCGGGGTCGGGCGAGGATCAGAGAAAAATGTATCATATACATGTGTATTTGACCTGTGGACTTCGTGCCTTAGAGGCGCTGTCCGGATCCATCGGTTGTAGCAAAAAAACGCATCTACGGGTCGGGGAGACTGTCGGGGGCATGGAATCTAGGCGGCCGTTCCCTTGACGAGAAAGTGTTGATCCATCGTATGTTTCCACAGGGGATTGCGAGGTTAATGTTCTCGATAGGTACGCCCGCGGGCGGGTGCACGCCGTAGTACATATATGTCACCAGTGTTGTTTTGTCTCTGTTTTTTGTCATGTTGTAAGTGACACCCGTATTTTTTGTCCTGGTTTTTATCTCCTTCTTATCCGTCTTTTGTACCTGCCTTTTATTCTATCTTCCTCTTTTGACTATTTTTGTCCACGTGTTTCTGGCTGCTGCCCCCTTTATATTTCATCTGTCTCGCTTGCGCGATCGTAAAGAGATCGTTTTACCAGTCACTAGTAGTACTCTTTACCTGTCGTTAGAAAGAGTTTTAGCGCAAAACCGTTAGTTAGTTCCTCGTCTGTCACCACCGCCCGCCGCGAGTTTTGGCCTCATGCGGGGCGGGGGGGGGGGGGGGGGGGCCCCCTTTGAAATTTGCCCCCCTAAAAATTAAACCAAAAAAAACCCCCCCCCCAAAAGGAGGAGAATTTTTCCCCCAAGAACCAACATCCCCCAAGGGCAAAAGGGGGGGTTAAAAATTTTTCTTTCCCAACCGGGGGTAAAAGGGTTCCCCCGCGTTCCCCAAAAAGAAAAAACATTTTTCCCCAAGACCCCCAACGGGGGGGGAAAAAACCCCGGAAAAACAAAGGGCTTGAAAAAACTTTGGCCCAGCCGGGGGGGTTTTGGGGGGGGGGGGAAAAAACGGGTTTCCGGGAAAAAAGGGAAATTTTGGCAAAAAAAAAAATCCCCACCCGCCGGGGAAAAAAAGGGGGGCTGGGGAAATAAATAAAAAATGGGTTAAAAAAAAAAGTTTCCCAAAGGGGGGAGGGGGGAAAAAAATTTTTGT